TTTAAGGCTGCATCCGAATATCTGTTTAGAGCTAGGTCTAGGTCCTTGCTCCATTGGAAATGCGTGGAGACGCGTAGACAATAGACCTAGTCGTAGCTCTGGAAGCCCGTTTGGACACGGCCTAAAACTGTTTTATGTTTGCTGAATCGAGTGTGTTTATTGCTGTCAAACAGGTGCCATCTTTTTCCAACACTGAAATCTTAATTTTAACTTAAATGCAAAATCGGGGATTTTATCTTTGGTGATCAAGATGTATCCTATATACTGTGTTTCGACATGAGTTAACCGTCGGTTCTTCATCTGCCTTGAATTCCTTTGTGGGGTCTGCCGAACACTTTCGTCTAGTCGTGTTTAATCGTCATTCCAATAGGCACCTGCAAAAAAATTCACAATTTGCCATCACAACAATTCGACGCTATGTCTGTGGTTCAGACAGTGCATTGCATGCGCCCTTTAATTTTGTTGAGTGTATCGTAAGAACGGATAGTATATTCTCACCTAGCGCAGACCTCAGCTGGACCGCGAGGGTGTTCCAGAAGTAGCATTTGTGACTCTTACCACTACTTAGGAAAGACATGAAGAGCAAGGAAATACAGGGAAACCTTATAAACCTCACAGTGACACAAGATTTTCAAGACAATTCATCAGTGCAATAGGTCTATTACAAATATAAATCAACGAGGCAAACACAAAGGTTATTTATACAATACACATGACCTCACAAGGCAATTCAATAAGCCTCACGTGGTAAACCTAATCACATGGCAACTCTAACATAAGCCAGACTATTGCCAACGATACACACTACTAGCAAGCAGCGATAAGCTACGTGGAGTGTTAATCAAACAAGGGATAATAACCCTCACTACCCAGGGTCGATTAATCCAAGGGATAATAACCCTCACTACCCAGGGTCGATTAATCCATGGGATAATAACCCTCACTAGCCAGGGTCGATTAATCCAAGGGATAATAACCCTCACTAGCCAGGGTCGATTAATCCAAGGGATAATAACCCTCACTAGCCAGGGTCGATTAATCAAAGGGATAACAACCCTCACTAGCCAGGGTCGATTAATCAAAGGGATAATAACCCTTACACGAACCAGAGCGCTCCCAGTGACCCTCAAGGCAAGCCAGTTCAGTGATACCCGGATCGCAACCCAGCCGTCACCCCACCTACGGTGTTCACAGACGGCAAGCAATCCACAACGAATCACCGTACCACTAGCTCTCAGCCAAGGGTTAACAACCAACGCTCTAGACTGTTCCCACTCTAACCAAGACACCAAAAAACAGTTCACTACTACATGCACTACTCCACCTATCGGTCGATACGACGCATCGCAGCGCTCTCCGGCGCAGCGTCCACTCTATCTCGCACAGTACACAGCACAGAACGGTTCTCAGCGATCTTCCCACTCTGCGACCCAGCAGCGAAACTAATAACAGTGCACGCCCTAAGCAAGCTGCAAGCCCAGACCCAGTGCTCTACCCACCGCTGATTGGTCAACGCATGCGTTAATAATTAATTACTTAGACTGGCATCCATGCCTACCCCTGTTTCGTCACAATATTCTATTAATATATTTTTGATCTGAAGAAATCAACACCGAAAATCCCCCAGTTTTCCTTTATTTCCACTCTCTTGCCTTATATATAATACATTTAAAAGCACTAAGATGGCGTTTAAGTAACATGATTTGGGTCCAGGCATTATTAAGATTTTTAGAAGCAGAGGTGACTTCTCTAGATGGACTGGTTCCTTTGTGCCCTTCTTAATCATTGAAAGTGCCTCTTCGTGCAACTAAGCAAAACCCTGCCTCGAATCACGATGTATAGCAACATTGTGTTTAGTTTGTTGGTTTGTTTGTTTGTTTGTTTGCTTATTGCTATTTTCAAAAACACGTGAATTTAAATAACTCAGTGTATCAGATTTTATTCAAGTTTAACTCGCAAAAGGCTTATTGATAGGCTGATGGAGATTAATTGTAAACAACTGCTTTGTATTTATTAAACTCGTCTCTCCAGTCCGCCATGTCGGTGTATTTCCAAGTCTTGAACGCTTGTCGCCATTGGCGCTCCACGTCGTCCAACTCTCCTGCAAGTGGGACAAAGCAAAGATTAAGGACATATGCATGTTAGATGAAGTATAATCTAGCCCACAAGCAGCCAGGGATGCAGAGTTGCACACTGCCACAGGACGGAGATTTTGAAGCCACAGTTGGGACGCTGAGAAAGCGCGCAGACTCGAGACAGTGAAAACACTGAGTGGATTAAGTATTGCAAAAGATCAGGACACAACGGTTGGTCAGACAACAGCAGCCAAGGCGGGCATTCCTTTGCTTTGTTTAATATACTTCATTGTGTGGAAGCAGTCATACGGTATCCTCACCTAGCGCAGACCTCAGCTGCACCACGTAGGTGTTCCAGAAGTAGCATTCGTCACTCTTGAGAGCTCGGCTCGTGGTCAGGTTCAGATCCAACACCTTGTACTTTAAGTCGGGACTGCTGTACAGGGGCCAGGCGTATTCGTCTGAGATAGGCTGGGACCCAGGCGACTCCAAGCCAGGGTTGCTGTCACGTGGAAAAGAGTTGTACGATTTACAGATGCGTCGGCACCATTAATATCATGAACGTTTACTTGCTAAGCAGCGATCGGGAAATCGGAAAATCCTTCAAGAGTTCGAATGAGCGCAGGATGCTCGGCGTTCAGCCATAAACCAAATGTTTTAGGAAACTTTGTGCTTTTCTTTGGCTGGAGGACAATACAAGTTTTAAAATACCCTCAGTTCATGTAGGAGAATGTCCAATGTAGGCTCTCTTCTGGCAGTACTCACCCACTCTTGGCGAAGTTGGTCCACAGTTTCATGACTTTCACAGTGAACGTTTTCTCCTCGTCGGTGAGATTACTCGAAGGGCTTTCGGGCACGAACGCCGCGCCGAAGACAAACGGCAGATCCTCGGCGTGGGCCGCCCCGAGCCAGCCAGGATTGACTCCCTGGAAGCTGTAGTACGATACGGTAGGCCTGTGGGCCAACTGATACAGGAACACTTCATTCTCCTTTGCGTGTTCGTGGGCGAGTTTATCAACAGTGCAAGAGAATAGCCAGTCTCCCACCAGATTCACCATTGTGCGGAAGTAATCGGCGTCTACGTACTCGGCTTGCGACCAGTCAATATACTTCATTCTGACGGCATCCAGCACGGTTTCGTCATAGACATCTGTGCGGGCAAACCGAAAGCCTATCAATGTAAGTACGTGTACTTGTATAACACCCCACACTGGACCATGTTTCTTTTTTAAATGTAAACGCAATTCCTCTGTAATACAGGAATTAAAACTGGGTCATACTGCATAGTTTTATCCATGCTTACCAAAAGTGTAGAACTGCGTCGCAAGGAGCAATTCAAACACTGTCCTGTTGACAGGGGGCGGGGTTTTGCTATTTCTGTAATCTTCAAATCCAGGAGTGAAAAGAAAGTTCAGTGTTCCCTCGTCAGTGTTCGATCCCAGCAGCATCTTGACGCGGTTGTAGTTTCCGGAGGCGTAGGCTTCAGCTGGTGTCATTTTGAGAAATGTGCCGTCGACGACAGGATACATGCGCCCGTAAACCTGAAATGCGTTAAAGGTTTCTTAAGACGTTACTAAAATTATGGGTATACAGAGGCTAAGTGGGTCAGATTGGAGAAGAGGAAATATTATTGTAAGGTAATATCTTAAAGCCACTCGATATTATTTGTTTTAAATAACTGACGGTGTCATACACGTCCTTGTCATTCGAAATAGACGCGAACGTCGGCACATATGTCGACGTCGCAGCCATGACTGTGCTTGTCAAGCATCAGAAATCAGGTTTCAACCTTCTCCCCATGTTTTGGTCTGCTGCACGCTGACGTTCAAACAAATAACGGTCGACTATTCAAAGGCCGTGGGAACAAGGATGATTCTAACTGTCGAAATGTAAATCCCATTCAGCATGGGCAGATGGGACTTTTGGGGCCGCAACGTGAATGACATTGGTAAATGCCACGTGATGCGAGTTCCACCAATCAAATGACAAGGGTCTGCGTATTAGTTGTGCAAAAAATTACATGCGAAAAATATTCTCCCTGCATGGAAAATTATATAGGACAAAGAACTTGAGTAATCGATTGATCGCGGCATATCACCAATGCTGACCTGAAACATTGAGGGCCACGCTGCCAAAACAATTAATTATAAGCTTCTATCCCACACGTTTCTCAAGAAAGGTTCAACATTTCGAATTGAAGCAAATTCAGCATAAAGGACAAGAAAGTGACAGTTTTGTGATCCCTTGTCTTGTGATTCAGGCAACACGAGACTCCTAAAACTTGAAACTTTGATGGGATTTAGGGACCTCATACAGTCTTTGAAGCCGACTATTTCAAGAATTTATAACACATTCTGAAAATAAATCAGAAAAAGGAGACCAGAGTATCTTCCGTAAAACAACCGATGTACTTTTACGTGTCTACTGTAATCCTATATCCTGCCATCGATAGCATCTTCCATTGGATCTTGATCAGAGTTAGAAAACAGACGCTTTGGTGGTTTACCATTGCTTGGGCGTTTATGAGGTCGTCGGCGTTGACGGCTTGAAGGCAGCTTATCAGGGCCGAACTGTCCGATGGACTACAACCGACGACCTCTCCCAACTGGAAGGCCTTCTGACGGAGCACCATGTCCCCCTTCTCAGTTAATGGCCCAACCTCGACCGAAAAGGCCGATCCACTCTACAAGAAAACAGGATTTGACGATATGCCTGAAAACGTTCGAATATGGTCTTTTAACTACACATTTATGTACCCTGAAAGGCAGAACAGGCAGAGAAATGGCATTGATGGCAGAGTGCGGTTAAATTTACATTGTAAAAACCTCTGCCCACGATAAACGCGCCTTCGATCGATTTAACTGTCAACATGTATGATGTAATCGTTTAAATTGAAACACCTTTTGGGAAATAAACGTGTTTCGGTGTTCAGGATGTGTTACCGACCCATAAACACGTTTGTGTGTCTTCTTGTTAAAACCCAAATGTGTCGTTGTGTCTAAATTTAAAACACATCAATATGTATTTGTTTAAGAAATAAACGTCGCGTGTTTACGTTTGGATTAACACCACAGCACGCTCAGCGAGTGTTACCATGCAGGAAGGCCTTGAAAAACAGTAACACTTGTTTTACAGTGCAGCACCCAGAGCATTTAACATCAAGATTTGTTTGATTGCCAATGTACCTGTACTATCGCCTGAGTGAACAACCCCTCCGTCATCTCGGACAGAACTAGGAATGCAACCATCACGCCCCCGGCGCTTTCCCCGAAGATTGTGACTCGTTCTTTGTCGCCACCGAAAGCTGTTGGAAAGAAATAAGAAAGCATGACTCGGCGAAGTCACGGCTCCTGTCGTCGATTCTAATGGCGGATCAGGCTGAGGCAGAACGAGAGGACGAGCCCTAGCTCGTGATCACCGACTTAGAGCCTTTGGTTTTCATTAACTTCCCTTCTTTCTTTTAGTGTATTGGTCCTTTCAGGTGAACAAAGCACAAGTGGTTCTCAGCTTATACCTTCAATGTTCTCTTGGATCCACTTCAATGCTAGGACATTGTCCAGCGAAGCCAAGTTTCCCGGTGAAGCTTCATCAGCTATCGTCAGGAGAAGAAATGAAACACTGTTGGTTACAGGAGCATTGTCAGCTCTGGGGGGAACAGACGCCCCCCCCAACACCAAAAAAGAGGCATTTTTACGCGGGGGGGGGATAATCTTCACCTTCCTCCTCGAAATATGCAAAAGCCCCCAGATTTAGCTCCACCCCGCGGTTAGAAGAAAGTCTTAAATTTTCGATGCACGATAGAGAGAAGTCTTACCTTCTCACTGACTGCACAAATGCTCTTCAGTAGACCGTAGCGTCAGTTATAGACGATTTAAAAAAGAGGGAAGAAAGGAGACTTGTGTCTGTTCACGGCTGCTAAATCTTTTAACTGTCGAATCTTAAGAATATAATATGTCTTGCGCGTGGCAGAGTGTGGTTGTAAAGCAAAACATCTTGTGTTCAGCTTATTTAACTTTCGCTTTCTTAATTCAATTGGTGCAGTCGCAGGGGTCTTGACTTCAACATCTGCAAATTACCTGTCGACAGGAATCCCATGACGCCTAAGCGGTAATTGACGGTAACTACTATGACGTCACCGACCGCAGCCAATGGGACGCCGTTGTACACCCGCTCTATCGCTGACCCAAACGTGAATCCGCCGCCGTGGATCCAGACCATGACAGGGACGGGCTCCGACTGAAGGGATAAAACATCAACGGTGAGAGGATAAAATTAGACTGCAGAAGGTCGAAGAAACACTATGGCGAAAATCATCAAAGTATCATCGCAAAGAGCTAGGCGGCGGGACATTGTTATATATTTGTTGGTTGAGGCCCTTTTTAAACCATGAACAGCTATCCTATTGTTTTTCCTAATACAGATTCTGAAGTATTAGGGGAATGTTTCATTTCTTTTAGGATCTCAGGATTATGATATGGTATTATCCAGCGGTTTAGCTCACCAACGTTGCATTAGGGGCGAAAACATTGAGGTGCAGACAATCTTCGTCTATGTCAAAGTCGAGCGTTTGAGCGTAGAAAGGATCTTGGAGGCAACCGGGTCTGAAGTACGTAGCGTTGTAGACCTCGTCTTCCCACGACGCCTTCTCCACCGGGGGCTTGAGCCTCAACGACCCGAGCGGCGGCTCGGCGAACGGTATCCCTTTGAAGACGTTCACCTTCTTGTTGCCCGCTCCGGAAAACCCACCGTCCAGGAAAGTCTCGGTGGTACCGACGAGCGTTCCCTGCGTCACTGTAACAGTAGGCTGGGAGGTTGTCAGTGTTACTAACAAGCCGAGAGCAATCAGGGTGCTACCCAGCAAAAACATAACGGATGGCTGTCCGCTCATCGTGAGCTTGACACCAGCGCTCGCTCTCTTCACATGTACACTGTTCTACTGTTTAACCCCGGCAGTGCTTTTTATCCGTACGGCGAGCCTGCAGTCCTGGGCGCTTTGGTTCAAAGAGCAACTGATCGCGTGAAACTCGACATTGTGTGGAACAATTGAGAATTCATTTTTGTACAGTCTCGACTATTCATGATTGGCACAGAGCATTATGCCTGCTGTGAATCATTCTTTTGCCTACGCCAACGCATCCGACTAAATAAGTACATTACATGTACATGTACATGCGCCCTATTTTGCGTACAACACCCATGAGGTGCAAGGTTGACGACTGTTGCATTCACGTTCCGGCGGCGCTGTGTGTGACGCAGTTCAGGGTTCAGTAGTAAAATTTCAGGAATAAAATCCGTTGTGTTGGAATCTTTGAGGTATCTACATTCCGCAAAGGCACTGTCGCCTGGCGTCCAGCATGCACTATGCAATTTGAACACGGATATGAAAGAACTGAAAAACATATGGCCTATCCATCCATGCCTGCTTTTATTGCATGTATGCCCACACATTCAACTTGTGAAGAGAGACGTTTCACAATGAAATGCATGCGAGTAGAACGTTGATGGTAACTGTACAGTGGTCGGCAATGCACTGATTGGTTTTGAACAGTGCCAAGAACTACTCGTGAGCAGAAACCCCAGCAAGTTTCGTTTGTCATGTTGACGAGATACTCGTGCACACGTGGTGCTGGAGGACAAGCTCGTCATACTGCAAGCAGTCGATAGGGCCTGTATGTTGGGTTCTTGTCAAATGACTCTGAAAACCAGAGCTCTTGCCTTGTCAAACTGACAAGATATGACGAAATTTGTAAAGTTGTTAATTTAAAACTGCGGTGCACACTGTTTCAACCTCAATTTCAACCTGGGCGCAGATGCGGGGGTGGCAATGGCCACTGCTCTGTTAAGAAGATTTAATCGATAAATAAATAAAACGAAATAACAATTATAGTAATAATAAAAAAACGATCAGTAACATCCTATAATTCCTGTTGATGTAGGGGTTATCATTTTGTACACCAGTAACATTGTAATGCATTACGTATGTGTCTGCCAGTTCGCAACAATTGAACATAAAAAAAATCTTCGGGGCCTGACCCTCCCCCAGGAAAAATTCCTGATTCTGCCCGGTGGTCGAGTGGTTGGTGAGGCGTTTGCGCTAGTACGCAGGAGGTTGTCTGTTCAAATCCCATCAGAGCAAGCATGTGCCATGATATTTTTCCACAAGGTGTCAAAATGCACCAGGACGTCTTCTTCATGACTGATGAATTCTTTTCGAGACAGATAATCGGGAAAAACAAGATTTACCCTGTCAACATGACAAGCTTTTGCTGTAAAGTGTGATTTCACACGCATTTCGATGATCCCCAAACTTATCTGTGTGAAGTGTCATCCGGCCGATTCTGGAAACTTTCACCTTTTGCTCGCGTGTCTTTCCCCGCATTATAGACCTAGGTCCAAGCACCCGGCGCAAAAAAAACAAAGCCCGCCGTGAGGACATCGTGTGCAAAATATTTGTTTCACTAGTGCATGGCAAGCACCTGTACCTTGTTGGCTTATCGCATTACGCATCATACGCCATTGGTTCAAGTGCATGTATGTTCCACCACACCCGATACCAGGGTACGAAGGTGAGATACTGAAGGGAAGAGGGAACGGATCCATAAATCTATCCACATCACACGTCACTGGCTCAAGTGTGGTCTGGTCGTCCGTGCGTATGTTCTATATGCACGCACCGCACCCAGTACAAAGGAACCCGAGGTGACGAAGAGTTGATTGTGGTCGGCAAAAGTTCAATTACACTTCGTGCTCAGTGCGAAAACTACATCGTACTTATTTGTCTCGTTTTGTAACAGCAATATCTTGACTCCCGAAAGTTGGGGACAAAAATAGAAACGTGCAAAGCGTAAATTGTACATTTGTATAAACGTTTGCAGCTACCTGAACTCCGGTGAAAAAAAAATGAATACAGACAAATCGATGTCCACAAGTTGATCCGACAAGGAAGTGTCGTATCAGACGGGATACAATCATTTTGGGCTTCATTTAAAATATATATACCTGTGTTCGTTGACGGATAATCCTAGTAGTTTTGAAAAGAGGAGTTCGCTGTGCGTGCCGATGTCGTGTTTTATCATCATAAAGAGTTTCCACAGATTACTTACAGTTGGCTATAATCGCGGACGGACGGAGGGGCAGGTAGGTTCTCTGACTAACCGAATGATTTCTTGCGATGACAACAAAGCAGCAAATAATCCAACCACTTTCCCCTCAAGTAAAATGATCACTTTCGGTTGTGGTGGACAGCTGGTCAAATTCATGATACAGGTAGTTTTGCTTTATTATTAAATAAGCGAAAACATTTATTTCACAGATTTGTACACCTATTCCCTCCACTGTAGTATGCATGTACATGTGTATACTGATTTATGCAGGTCGTATTTCTAAAATATTTAGATTCAAAAATCCTTGCCTGAAAAAAAATCAGAACAATCCGTTTGATTGTGATTGACCTCAGTAGTTGGTAGACTGTGAACCATGTGTTGTTTACATTGGCCTTCAATGCTGCACTTTTCCGTTTCCTTTGACATTGGATCCTTTCCTTTCACCATTTATTAAAACACAGTGTGAGGAGCCTTGCTCTGCATTCACCCGTGGCTACTCTCAATTCTGTCTCTCAATATGTGTTAATTCTGAAATGTACAATGCTGTATTTTTGCTTATAACCGTACAGGTTTAATTAAGTGAAATATACACGACACAGGCAAACACAAGTGACACAAAAATGCAATTATTACAAAGCAAACTTCTGAGGTTGTGTCGTTTTTGAAAAGCATTGGTCAAAGTCGTCAAACTATTATCTACCACTATCTAAGAACTTACAGCATCTAAACTCAGCACCATTTGCACTATGTTTTGGTGATACTACTTTACTCAACACAGAAATCTTCTACATGTAAATATAATACGGACGATTTACAATAGTGTGCCTCCAAGAGTTTGCAACGCGTTGGCCATTCACGATGAGCGAAATCTGTCGACCCAATGCGCGTTTGGAAAGGGTCGACAGATTTCGCGCGTCGTGATTGGCCAACGCGTTGCAAACTCTTGGAGGCGCACTATTATGAATCGCACGTATTGCATTCAATCTATGTTTGTCTCTGTATACGTCAGGTGTAACGATCACAGAGCAAAGGACTCCATCCTCATAGCGAAAGAAAATCAGCTGCATGTGATGAACTGAAAAGAATGTTGGATTTTAAGTTCCACCCATTTAATCTGTTGTCATTTTCTCGTGCATAACAGCAAACCCAAAGTGGTTCCTCTCGTCTCCAGCAGCAGTCGCTGGTAGAGAAACTTATTATGTGGCCTACATGTCATCAAATGGGTCCCATTCCCAATTCGGCCAGTTTCACCAAAACTTGAAGAGGGCGCTGTACCACCATCCACGTGACACAATGACGCGTCCACTTGCTTGAAAGTTTTGGCTAAGACTATTGACTTGAACACGTGCACGTGTCGAAGGCGCATGCTGAGCGGCTGTAACCATTTCCCCGAGAGTAGGGGATTACTTCCGGTGTTAATGAAGACTCGGTCCCCCCGGAAATCTTTGCCTGGCTTGTTTGAGATATCATGTCTCCCCGGAGAGTTTATCCTTCCAGTTGGTAATTCTGTCCGCCTTGCACAACATAGGTTAATTACGGACTCTAATGGTGAATAATTATGACCTCCCCACTTCACACGTAACTCGCTACAACTACTTGACTTCGCTGATCTCATAGTTCCCCCTCCCCGCTCATTCTACCGAGCTTCCACGAGTTTTACCTTGATTTAACAGTTGTCTGCATCTACTGCAGAAGTGCTTTTTGGCCAAGTCTACTACGTTTCAAAGAAATTTCAGCTCCATCAATACGACTAGCACGATCTATGAACACACAATTTACCAAGATAGATTTTTACTGCACATCTAGTATGCACTACATACATTTAGTTCTCCAAGGTGGAGCCAAAATTACATTCACTCTTCTTGGTTAAGAAACATTACGGGTATCACAAAATAAAAATTTGAACCACAAATAAACGTTAGATGAATGTACAAGTGGAATTGGACCTGAGGGGTAAATTGCCCCTAGTTTGGGGCAGAACACCCTGGCTTGGGGAGACTTTTCCTTAGCAAATTCTGTTCCCCTGACCGTTGTGCAGGGGGCAGCTTTCTCTACGACACCGGCTGACAGGTTAGTTGGACACACGGCCATAACCACACTAGGTCTGGCGGTGACGGTGTTACGGCACAGCGCCACCACACGACACCTACTCATTCGGCTCGGTGGTGTTCAGCTTGATGTATCCGCTGCCGGACCTCGCCCCCTTCTTCCTGTCCTGTTCGGCACGCCCTTCTCCTCCTACTTCAAGAAGGATGCGCTCGTCCTCCAGGTTCCCAGCTAGCCCCGGCTGCTTGTTGGAGTTCACGTCCGCCCGTGATGGCGGCGAAGCGGCTGACATGGTGCTCATCTCCACCGAGGCCTTCGCCGCCAAAGGACCGGTGTTTCGTCGCGCCTGTCTGCCGCTGATGTCGCTGCTCGTGGAGCTGCTGTTACGCTTGCCGAAGGAAGTGGACGAGCTCAAGCGGCTGGTTCCTGTTGTAGACTTCAGGCTCCAGTCCGACCTTTTGAATCGCTTGCCGAGTAAGCGCCGAACCTGTCAAGCACAGTACAGTCATTTTGCCGTGTAACATTAAGCTTACCCTGTGGAACTTATTCTAGGGTCGGCTATCATTGAAATTGAAAGTAAATATAACTCTTCCTCTCCGGAAACTGGCAGCATCAATGAAAGAACAAAATGAAATTTTCTGTCAAAATTAGTACATGTGTCTGTAAAATCTCCTGTGAATTATTTTGATTGATGAACTTTTAAATCGGTGTTTAAATTTTACGCTAGACTTGGGGGGAAAATGGAGCGGAGGCTTGAAAGCCAAATCAATAATATTCGAAATTAAACAGACACAATTCCATGCAAAGAAAAAGTAAAGATTATAAACCAGATACGATTAACAAGATAAGAAATGGCTTCTTCAGAAACAAGGTCAATTATAAAGTCGAAGAAAATAATGTTAGAGGGCTTTGAACATTTAACAATGTGTACGAATCAACTTTGCACACTACGTACAAAAGCTTGGCTTCTTTCTGGAGTTGAGTGTTTCCCTGTCTTAAATGGTCTCCTGCTGAGGTCATCGCTAGAACAGCTAGCGCAGCCCTGACATGTACAGTTTGGGTACAAGTACGACACAATGATGGTATGCTAACAGGGCTGATTTCAGCTGAAGCACATGCCCGTCCAAAAGTTGTTTTTGTTTTCTATGTTCGTTTTTAATGTCACTGTGATCGGCTATCGCGCAGACGTGGCAAACAGAATGCAGCAATCATTAATATTTTTAAACACCACGATAAGTTGTGGGAAATTGTCCAATTTCCATGGCATATGGTAATCTATGGAGTAGGCACTTTGGATTGCTTACAGTTGTTCGTATAGCGGCGACTGACCAAGAGATAACACTTAGACAAGACTACGGGCATGTGGGGAAATCAGAAACGGGAGTGGTCCGTATGCATGCGACCTTCGCGAACATCAAGAACTATTTCCATAACATCTACGAAATTGGGCCGATAGGGAGATTTCAGACTTTCAAGTTCTGATCCGACCAGTATTTCTGCCCAGATTGGTCAGCAGGCAGAGGCAGCTACCGGGCATATGATTTTGTCAGATTTGTTACAGTCCTTTGGTCTGGCAACCAGACTCTCCTCTGAATTAAAGTAGGCCATCTACTCTGCATAACGTTACTGCAATGGCTTCGTAAAGTCAGGGGATCCTCTGCACTAATGGTACGGACCTCGTAATAAAAAGTCGGAATCGCAATGCCCTTATAGTGCCCACATTATATAGGTCACTGAAGCCACTGGCGGCCATTTTATCGTGCCAAATATAAAGGTAATGCAAAGGCTTGCTCGCTATTGTTAACCAAAATTGTTTGTGGCAAAAGTGGTCAAATTGGCCTGCAACCCAACGGTCCCTTTGTCATTGGCACGGTAAGGTGGCTGCTGGTGGCTTCAGTCGATACAAAAGCACTGCGAGTCCTGACTCTTTTTGAAGACGTCCGTGACCGATGGGCTTCGGAACTAACAATGACAGAAGAGGGCGATAATCGGGCGCAGAGCTGTGTATGGAGTTACGACATAAGTGTCTCAATTGATGGAAACAAAATGATGTATTACGTGTCAAGGCACGTCGACAACGATTAGCACAAAATTGACGTCTGTACCGAGCACAGAATTAAAAGCCATTTTGGTTCTAAAGTCTGTGAAGTTGACGCTACAGGGAGCTGTTACACCGCAGCAGGTGGTACGCGGGCGTTGGGTACCTCTGAGACCAATTTAGATATCAGAAGAATCTACGCATGGACAATACAGGGCGTTGCGACTTAACAATTAGTCCACACGCGGGAGTACGGTGCTATAGTTCACCGCACTGATGTGGTGATAGCACCCCTTGGAATTGTCTTTGCTTTACGGTGCGCAGATTAATGATTCCTGTACATTTCGTCGCTCATCGTACCGTACCTGTTCACGTACCTCGCCATTGCAGAAGACATAGAGAGTGCTAACAGCCAGACCCTGTAACGATGAGATGATGTTGGCCACGTAAATTACTATGAAGATGAGGAGGCAGGGTCTTCCGATCCACACTACCAGAATGGGCAGGGCGTAGTACGAACCCAAAAGAATCAACAGGAAAAGGGTAGACTTGGCTGTCCGTCTGCGAATCAACACAGGACACAAAAAGATAATGTCGACGTAGCGAGTTTTGCCATACGGCTCTCCAGTCTGTTGAATTCCGCTTCTATGCCCCACATTCTCTCTTCTGGGGTCAAATTTCCTTCATAGTACATACAATTCATGGCTGACCAGCAATGGATTTATATTCGTACATTGTTTACCTGCATGGCATTCTGTACTTGTTTTATGTAATGCTTGGAATCCTGAACAGGCTGCTTCGACAATCTGTCTTTTTGAGGTGGGGTTGCGTTTTCGGATCCTCTTTGGCTTCACAACGCGCTTGCGGAATCGACACTGTTTTTTGTTTTGTTTTGTTTTGTTTTGTTTTTTTAAACTGGGCATCACATATTACTGGCCTGCTTGTTTCGCACCGATCCGATCTCGGTCAGTGATTCAAACACTGGTTCAGTGTTACTGAACCAACGTCAGATCGCTGGTCGCGATCCAGAGTTTCAGAAAACAACCAGGCTCCGACGATTTTGATTTAGAATTAAATTAGTTCCATTTTGCCGAACGCCCCCGTCCATTTTATGGTATATTCCTTGCGCAAGTTGTCCAGAAGAATCTCCATATGTGGACTTGGGGCAGGCGTGGCGTGTTCTGCGTGGCGCGTCGCACGCAGAATCTTGACCAATAGGGATAAAGTATTAAAATCGTCTCGTATCCAGGTGCCAGTGCGGTTTTTTTTTTTTTGTTTGTTTTTTTTTTAGGCAGCGGGCATTATTAAATCTCAGCGGGAATTATCAAATGTTGATACACGTTCACGTGGCGCGTTGTTGAATAGGGGTACCGTCCGGAGTATTTATGAATAAAACAATTAAAAACCGTAAACATACCTGTGCCTTTTCCGCTGGTCTCTGCTGTCGCATGCCCGTAGTTTCTTGTTAATGTTTAGTATTACTACGATCAAAACTATTAAATTGATCTGCAAGACAAAACAATACATAGTTGCTAGGCAGAGGTGCAAAGGAAACAAAAGAGAAAGAGAAATGAGAAGTGAAGTTGAAAATATTCGCCGAAATTCACAAAAGAACTGTAAAACAGAGAAGGGAAGAACATGGCTACATGTACGTGTTTGAGATATTGGAGAATTTTCTCCTAAAAAAAAGAACCTTAGATTTGTAGCTAAAGCTAGTGTGTAACCGGAACACTTTTTAGTAACAAAACTTACCAGCAATATGACGAAAACGGGAACGATGACACACACGATCGCGGGGGTATCCGGCTTGGTGATGTCCAGCTCAAGAACCCTGTTGTAAACGAAATGGCACTCACACCCGTAAAATATAACGCTTTAACAGAACCGTTCCTTTCTCTGACAAGCCACTGGAGATTTGGGCTCGCAATATCGAAAATCAAGTAATGAAAAGCGACACTTGTAATGCTTATAAATTACCATCTCTGCTCAAAGCATGCGCAGTGAAAAACTTTCGCGGTAGGGTACGCGCATGGGAGATAAGGGTCTCGCCGAACTCCGCGTGTCTTTTTATTCTTCGACAATGACAGGTCATGACAACGGCTGATGTTGACAAGCTGGCAGATAAATGGCAGTGATACAAAAACAAACATCAGGACCACGTATAGTCTAGTTCATGGGCAACTAAACATTTACAACACTCTTTAAATTTTTGTCAGAGTGGCTTTGCCAGAATTCGTAGCGGTTTAAACTTTACCTGCAATCTTCAGGTAATGTAAGACTCTCAACGGCAATCCAGATAATAACCAAAACAGCCGGGGCACCTAGCGGCGACAAGGAAAATGGTAAATTATCATTGTAAACCTCCGGTCAAAGAAAAGAAAATATGAAAGTCAAGTTGAAAGTGCACAACATGTCAGATAGATGCGACGCACCCCATCACACTGCAGTAATAAGTCTTTGTCTTACCCCAGCCCAGGAGACACCACTTGATGAACTGTCTGCCTTTCTGTTCTTGGAAGAAACTTATAACAACGATGCCGAAGAGGATCAGTCCCTCCACCAACATCCAGAAGAAGTTGGCCAGGACCGTGTATGCTATCATCACGTGCAGGACGTTTCGGGCGTGCTGTGAAAATACGTTTACATAAAAGAAACTCTCCAAGTTAAGTTAGAGCTTTGGGATTGCTCTCCACATCATCTCACATCGTATGTCATATCGTATTGTGTCGTATTATGTCCTATCGTGATGCATATTGTTCCTTATCATATCACGTCATGTCACACGTCACAGCATAGCGTTGCATAATCGGCCCAGAACCTTTCTGTGAGTTATATTTTCAGAAAATCTGGTACACTGAGTTCTTTAAATTCACGTGAACATGACAATTTGAATTCTCCATACTAAAACCACTGTTGCTATATACCTCGTGACTCAGGGCAAGCTCTTGCTTAGTTACATAAGAGACGCCTTGCATCAATGCACTGTTCTCATTGGATGAGAAGGGCACTAAGGAGCCAGTCCATTCCAGAGATGGTGGTTGCTATGCAAAAGCTTGCCCCGAGTCTCGAGGTATAGCAGCAGTGTATTGATTTTGGGGAATTCAAATCGTTACATTTATGTGCAATCAGATAACTCAGTGTACCAGATTTTATTCAAATTTAACTCGCAAATGGCTTATTCCGCTTCCCCGTCGATTGTCCAATTATGTTCGTGTACCAACGGAGGCGGGTGGACACAATGGAGCACACACAAAAAACATAAATTACCACATTGGTGACGTAGCACAGAGGCAGAACGCTGTAATCTATCAGGAACACCACGTGGTATATCGTGAAAGATGCAATGAGGTTCCAGTGGACGTGGTACGGACTTCCCTTCAGCCCGCGCCTGAAGATAGAAGACGAGAAAGGACAAGTAACTGCAAATCATAATCAAGACAAGGTCAGTGACATCACTGCCCAGCTATCCCAGAATATTTCCACAGCTAAGGGTCACTGGAGCACATGAAATATCTTCTCGGAGGAAGATTTTTAAAAGTTCAAACACAGTAATGACTATATGCATTAAAAATCATGAATTTGTTTTTTTTGTCATTCGTTTACTGATTTAATAATTCAGTCTCGTCAATGATATGAATTAGTATACAAATCGTTGGCCCTTAATCTAATTAATAAGAGAAAGTCAAATAACAGTGAGTTATGTAATTTATTATGCTTGATCTCTTTGGCCTATTCTTGCTTAGTTAATTTGGAATCACAACGAAAATGACGTCCAAATAACTGCTAACTCAAACCATCTTAACGATAAATTCTATGACGAAATCAAAGGATTAAATCGGTAAAATGAATGACAAAAAACGAATTTGCTTTTTCAATTCAACGCCATTCCAGGAGTAAGACAAAAAGGACGATAAAATGGACGAATAAGAACGGTTCTTATCCTGAATTACAGTGCTCTGAAAGTGAAATCTAGTTGGAAGTTGGAATCAACATTTTGGACGAGTAACCCCTTTTTGACGAAATTAAACTTTCGTTAAGCACTTTTAAATAAAAGAAGTGCTCAATTAATACGTATTGAAACGGAATAAGTGCTTCTTAGAGATTCCCTCAGGAGGGTACTCGAGCCTTTGCATGCCACGAAACACCTCTTTTACTATCTGTTTGGTCACAGTATACTGTGTTGTCATCAGCACACCACGGCTGAAAAAAATTGCAGTCCCTACAATGTGCCTTTCCAAATGGCCCGACATCAAAAAGGATGGATTTCAAGGGTTTTGTGGGAAAACTTTGAAGTCGTATCAAATTATCACATTAAACTCGACACACTGCATACTAGGGTGAGGTTTGGGGATGTTAATACAAATAATTCAACGACTGAATCGAAATGGCTCATCACCTTGTGATGACGTAAACGACATTTGCGACGATGCACGCCAAGAGAGACAAAGAAAAGCCGACGTAGATGACAACTTTTTGCACCTGTTTCAAATCAGCAGGAAGGAAAAAAGACGCAAGCTTATTAATGCGCTTACAACTTCCATGGAAAGAAAAATAGAATTTGGATGTTGGTTCAGATGAGATAAATATTTCAACGTGCAGAGGGTACCTCATTGCAGCCAACTGAAAAATAACCGACCCAATTTTTATTAAAAGATGGTACTTGACCGAAAGAAACCGACACCCCATTAAGCTCTTCACATTTTGGAGATTTCAGTGCGTCCGAGGAGACACTCGGGCTCTCCCGCCCGTCCAAAAAGGGTTTTCTGTGGAGCTACATGTATTGTCAAGTCTGTCACAAGTCCCGTCGTTACGAGTCCATTACAAGTCGGGCCGTCTTTAAACCAGGTCGAAAGCTGTTCCGAATGACCTGTAAAAAAGTGTTGTTGTGTGAAAAGGACTTGTGATGGACGCGACTGCGACGTTGCATTTTAGGGCAACAGCAATTCTAGGATCAATGAAATGAAGAATTCCTCGTACCTGAAGTACAACATCATCTTCCATTGTAAGTTGCACGACCACCCCGTCCACGCAAATCCACACCGCTTTTTTAAAAGGAAAACGAAAATATTTAGATATAATTCAATTTGGAAAGGCACTGGCCTAAAATTTTCTCAGCTAGCTGGGAAGGGGGGATGAGAAAAGTTTTAAAATTGCCCGGCAGGAGAAATTTGAAAACCGGGGACTATTTTTCAGTGTATAAATCTTTATAGCTGTTGGATAGTTCAAATTACATCATTTCTGTTTTTATCTCTCGCTATCACAAGTGGGGTGACTGAAATGGTTCCTATACCCAGTGTTGAAATTGTGTGGGTTAAATCCTCCCATTTACCCTTGAGCCACGTTCTGCTGATAGTTAACAATTCAAACTTTACTAAGTAAGCAGCTTGCTTGTTAAATTTGGATTAAAGCGTCTTTACTGGATAAAATTCATGGGTTTACTGATAAAACATGGGCACAAAAAACCTAAAGCAGAAGAAAAGATTTGGGATTTGGTACGATGATGACCGCCAATCTCTCTTTACTCCATCCAAGTTGCGGCAGGCTTTCCTATTAGGACTCGTGCACGGTATGAGGGTACAGGCCCGTAAATAGGCCCAAAATTGCCTGCGCCGACCGAATCATGATTTGTAGGCTGTCAAATTCTCTGCCATTAGAGCATTTCGTGTCACGAGGGCTAGATGGTTTGTAAAGAAGGTGGATGGAATCTATCACATGACTGCCAGCTTGTATTTCGGAAAGTATCAGAACAAACGGAGCCCTCCAAGTCGACCTGTTTTGCAATGGGGTGTAGACATCAATTTTCAAAATGGCGATGGGCCTCGATGACTGTTTCGAGGGGTGATTACCTCTTGAGAGAAATATCGTCACAGGTGATCGGTCAAGCCACGGCAAATTGAACGTAAAATAAAAGATGAGGAAGTGAACTCTAATTTGATTTGTATCTTGAACACGTAACTTCTGAGTATTTTTCCTGATTTCTTGGAGGTGGGGGTATTTATCACTTCCGCCTATGGCAGCTCATTGACTGGTCTGCACCCATAACAGGTCGTTGGCCATTCAAAATTAACGCCACTTACGTTTAGGTTTACACACACCACATTCGTTCGTGACATTTGAACATCCCGACTGGTTGCCGTCTGAACCGTCGTCGATGCAATGCCAAGCTGACAAACGACAAAACACAGTGTTAACATTTCGTGAGAACCCCCCCCCGGCATAGTTTGTCACACTTGCTGAGTAATGAAACGACTGGAGAAAACGTCTAGTTCTACTTACCGGTCGCTAATTCCTCGTCAACGGGTGCAGTGGAGGAGGACGTGTTCGTAGCGTTATCACCTCTCGGCAGTTTGCACGCTGCCAACTTAAGCGCCATCAAGAGGGCAAAGACGTATACCAGCAATTTCTGGAAATGCCAAGGCAGATTTTATTATGGGTCGTTAATCAAAGAGAACGGGAAGGAAACGATACGCGTCAAGATGAATATAAGACAATCGAGAAAAACCCTGCTTCACCGATGTGGACTTGCTAATGGCGTTTTGGAGAACTTCCTCGCTTAATTTTATTGTAGCATCAACCCCAACCGTCCTCAATCCTTCGATTTCAATATGATTTGACATACACCCGTGGGGGCTAGGATTCAGACCAAACTTCATAATCCAGATTCCCAAGCGTCTGACTACCTGACGCATGGAGAAAGTTCTAAACTCGGCACTTAGGACTTCCTTCAGCGCAGGCAGATGGTGGGGTTTAGTCTGTCTTCTCGCGTAGTTTAGGAAGACGAGCTCACCCTCGAAGAATAAGACCTATACTTGAATATTCGAATTTCATCCATGATACCGTCCATGTCCTGGCTTGTGGTCACTAAAGTATTGAAGATTTTTTCTTTCAATGGCTAACTTGAACCAGAGTGTGAGGGTTTACGACTGTACGCCCCCCCAAAAAAACACGTGTATGTGTGTATTGCAGAATCGCTGTTTTTTGTTATTAATGGTGCTGTTCTGGATCTTGTTTCTCCAGTCTTCTTTTTTTCCTGTAACCTAGTATTATTCTCTTGACAAAACTAATTAGTTAATGCAGAGATAAAACAAGTACACACGTACTTTCGGAAACAAGCGTTAGGCTCGTATCAACTGAAACATTCCCCAAACCAACGGTGTATAGGTTGGCCACAGACTTGGCGAATCGTCAAGTAAATACAAGTATATACACAACGCTGCAAAACGACGGCAGTGTTTTTCTTTGGCCAAATTTGGACAAGCCATCTACCCAGGCTGAAAGGCTGGCTGAAAATGTAAGTAAGGCAAGTTTCATGTTTATCCAAGCCCTTTCGAAACAAGGCAACAGAACAGTTCAAAAACGTTGTGCTTATCGTGTGCGTGCAGAGATGGTCTTCCCCATGCTGCAGTGTGACGTGCGAACCCTACAACACCACTGTTTTATAGGGCATTCATATTCATCAAAATTCTCACAATATAAACTGGGTGTAGTTTTACTGGACACGTTATTGCATGAGGGACGAGTTTCGTGCATAAAAACTACGTTCAAGAGAAAACAAATTAGTTAGTTTTCATTATACAGTTGTTGAGACTTGAAAAAAACCATGATTATAAGCAGAACATTGTGATGAAATGGCTAGAAGGAAACTTTAAAAATATAAAGAGATTGACACGCCAGAAGTCGCTCTTAATGACCATATTTTCCTACCAGGGTGCTCTTAATAAACAAAGTTGACTCTAAACTTCGTATTCAGTTACTTGCTTAGTCTGGACTCCCTCGTTCTTCCCGAATTTCCCCCAACAGTGTGGTTTGAACTCGCCCTTTCATCGTGCGCGCCACTTCACAAGGCTATACAGTTATTTCCTGTTTCCGCGTACAATATTTTCTACAAAACGTTTCCCGAGCAGTCATTTCACCGAACTGATAAGGACCTTCGCGGGAGCCCACACAACAAAGTCACGGCACTAAATTCTAAGACAACAAACAACTTTGCATCCTCGTGGAAAACGGCCGTCATGTCGTGTGCGACGGGTGTGAAATTGCGGTATCGGTTTGTACCACTGAAACTTCCGCGTCATGAGGTGCAGGAAACTTTTTCTAACTTCTCTTGCTTGAATTATACCCACTGTTTGTACTATGATTTTGCCAATTTCTGTTTCCTCGGACAGTTGGAATATAGGCCTACCACATGTTTATTTTGATCGTATATGACGCCCTCTGGCGCGCCTGCAAATATTGTTTACATAGTAAAGTGATACTGTGTTGCAGTATGGTGGAATAAAAATGGATTTTTATTCCTCCGTGGTTGCAGTATGCAAGGCCCCCGGCCGTCCGAACACTGTGCGGGCACGGCGAGGCAGCGAGTCTTGGGAAGGGGTCGTGGCGGTCGAGCAGTCACGGTTGTCTGGGTGCTCACTGCCGAAAGTAACGGCAGAGCGTCGACGAGGCGCGGAGTAGGCACCGCGAAGCGGTAACGCAATACCTCGTGCGTGGCGCGCTGGTCCGCGATTTGCGTGCCAAGTCACGAAGGATCGAAGTGATTTTGTTCAGCTTAAAACTATCCGACGCATTGGGAATCGATACCCAAAAAGAAAGACGACAGACCAACCGTACGGATATTTTCCGCCCATAAGGCAATTGCTGTTCAGTAGCTAGGGCCAAAACGCACAATGTCGAGAAGATATAAACGCCACTAATTTTCCATTTTAAGGAAGCAGGCCAACAAAACTATTCCAAGGTACCAAATAAGTGAACTTCCGTGTTTGCAGAGTTATTAGGGATACGTAAGGCAAATCAACAGCCAACATTATCAAGTACTTAAAACAGTTTGGCCAATTTCTAAGTTTAAGCTTGGATGGTATGACGTCCCGGACGCTGCACCAATCACTCCTTGCACGACTTAGTTTAATTCCTACATTATCAAACAACGGTTTAGTATATTTTGCTTCTTTGGAATTTCTTTAATTCCAGTTCTCAACTTTATGAAACTTTATGCTTTGTGCAATTTAAGAGTTTAAAGAGATTGTATCGCGCAGAGAACACAGCTTCAGTTGAACCTGTGTAATTTACCTCAGTCACTTTTAACGATGTGCTGATCTGACATACTTCTGTAACATCACCCGCTTTACACCATTTCATGATTTCGTTCGCTTGTTGATGGAAAGTAACAGAGGTTTCAACATAACACAACAAAAACCGATCAGTTATCGGTGTCCCCATTCTATGAGTCTTTCCAAATGATCTCAAGTATTAAAGGGGTGCCAAATTGCGTGGACAGCAATCTAGCAATATCGATTACGATACGGTACATGCTATTGGACAGAACAAAAGCGGTTATCTTATACGAAGATTATTACATCATAGGGCTTAGATGAAATCCTCAGTTTTCAAAGGTAACATGCCCAGCCTTAATTTAATACCCACATTGACAAGTTCTGACCATTGTTTCAAGAGGGAATAAATGTTATTTTAGGGTTGGTTACGTGGCGGGACACCGAGTAGACCTATATAGTACAATGAACTCCACTTTACAAGAAAATCAGTGTTCAAATTGACTTCCACAATACGGGTGATTCATAATAGCGCGCCTCCAAGAGTTTGCAACGCGTACCAATCAGGCTGCGCGAAACAATGTGCGTTCAAAAAGGGTCGACAGATTTCGCTCGTTGTGATTGGCCAACGCGTTGCAATTTCTTGGAGGCGCGCTATCGTGAATACCGGTATTAATTAAGCCAGAGGAAGTTTCGGACGTAATGCAAGAGTATCTTCCTTCAAATGTAATTGTTGAATCAACACAATATCAGTGCCAACAAACAATTACTGATACCCCTGCTCACTGGGCCCATAATTTAATCATCCCAGCACGTACCCTAGAGAGTACAAAGCCTTTTAGAGGAAATAGTGCAACATCCATCTCCATACAGGGATCAAGTTAACACCACACCCCTGCGCCGCGACGTAACAAGTTAGATTCGAACATTTAGCGTTCAGATGACAGAATTAAGAACATATTCTTTGGTATGACTTGAAGCTTTGCCCGGTGGAGATAGGCTAAAGAGAGGGCTAGTGGTGAATCACCATGTGGATAGATTTCCTTGGGAAGAACCTGGGTATGGTTCCACTCCTGCGGACGACCAGAGTTCGAGTTCACACTCACTGGTTCTTATCAGAACCATACCTCTTCCAAAAGAGATCTATCCACGTGGCAAGCAACCCATCTCTTTCACACAATCTTGGAGTTTGATGGGGCCATAAGCAGACAGTTTCGGGTAAACGTTCTAGCGAGGTCTAGTACCTCCCTGTGCCCAAGACATAGACCTAACTTGTCGGTGTTCAGAACGAGACGTGAGCATAATGTACAGTACGTGACTTGAAGCTTTGCACGATGGAGATAGACTAAAGAACTATAGAAGTTTAAACCTGCAAGCTTTTAAGTTGGGCCACTGGTGTCGGCCAAATCGCATCCTAGGAAAGAAGTGGGTCTATGGGCAACTTGAACCCATTACAAATAAACAAGCACATTCTAGCCCGTCATAATACGCTATGTGCGTACAAGGCACGTTGTGCGGATTCGGATGTGACACGGACAGAATAATATAATCATATCTCGAAACGTCGCATAATGATCATTGACTTAGTCTTTGAACCAGGTATAAATTAATATGCACCCCGTTCTGGACTGGTACATGCACGCCAGGTGAAGCTTCAAGCTTCGCTTGTGTCGTGTTCACTTACCATTATGCAGGCCGGAGTCTAGAAACGTTGGCCTAATCTGTGGAATTTTCGACGAGCCAAGTCGATGACACAAACGCAGCGTCTGAAGTTCAAAAACTATCCTGACAACAGCTCTCTCGTCCAAATTTCCAGACGCCCGCAGGTAAAACTGACGCGGTCTTTCTTCGGCAATTTGGAGCGGCTTAATCAGTCGAGGCGGTGAAACTATCGCAGCGGACTCGCGCTGAACACCGGTATATGCCGACGACCGCGCAAACCAGCTACTCGCTACGTCTCTATTTACAGCGATTAACTCCGCCGAGGGAATCAATCGTTCCGTGCGTGCCCCTAGAAAAATTATCCCCGAGTACCGCCAGCCCGATGACGGAAATGTAGATCAAGTACGCAGTGTGCACGAACTCGTCGGCGAACCGAAGCAAACTGGATGGCGTGCCGAACGAGACCACAGTACATATTTGTACTGGTATAACCAGGTTTTGAGTGTCATTGTAATAGGGGATCAATGAGTCGTTGTGCGCAAAAATCCAGGTAGCATTTCCCCGTTTCCCCCCCTAGCTTTAGATGGGGATATAAAAAAGAGAGCTTGCCAACTACGGCGGTTATGGAACAATTATGTTGCTGCAGTCCATCATTTTTTTGGTTGGGAGAAATTTCAATGGTCCGTCAATCACGCCCGACTGAGCAGCCACGAGACCGCGACAAACAACCTGGAGTCGTGTGGATATACTGAATGGCGGGCATTGGGAGTTAAAAGGAAATGAGTCGCGACTCGCGGAGTGGCAACTCGTTAAATGAGCAGTTAGAGAGGAAAAAAACTACACCGAGCTCTGAAGTTTGAAATATTAACTTTGTTGACTGCAAACGTGTTTACAGACCAAGGTGGCATCTGGGGGGTCCCAATTCGTCGCGACCAACTAGACCTTAACGCTGGAACCCTGAGGTTGTGAAGTCAGTCGCAACGACTGACCCGACCGTCGCTATTGTGGTAGGGTGTTGCACAGGTGATGTCTTTTGTCGTACGCTATAAACAACTTCCTCAAGTTTAAGATTTGGGATCACTTTTGCCAGAGGGTCGTGTAACACCAACTTGCGCGCGCTAAAGTTTGCGGGAGAAAAGGGCGGATTGAAAAGGGATGCCTAATCCCACTGGAAGACACTCGGTTGGTGTAAATAATTGAGCTGAATTCGGTTGACAGAAAGTCGTCCGAGCTTAAAAGGCAGGGCCGGATTATTCACTGCACAGAGCCATAAACACACCGTACCCGTGCGTATGCCCACACAAACAAGGGGGTTTCGGGCGTCTCCCTCTTGAATCGTCAATTCTGGAAAGCTTCACACGGGCTAGCTCTCAACTGACAGTGAACCCCCGTGTTATCCATGTCCGACAGGCTTGAAGAGCTATTACGGCCTCTAGGTTGCTTGGTGTAGCCAAGCATCAACGGGAAAGTTCCAGCGTGTACCAGCGCAAGGGAATTGGCGGCCGTGTTGCCTAGGACGGGGTGTAACGCCGACACGGAGGAGTAGGGCCTACGGAACACTGGTGCCGATAGACATGAATTGCAGGGCACGAGATCCGGACCTGCTTGGTACAATCATTTCAGAGTGAAGAAATATTCATTTTGCATCTGTAATTACCGGTACCCAACCTAACTCCGTACCGCGATGCAATTTTTACCGAATGCAGCTAACAATCCGTTACAAAGACAATTAAGGCAGCATCCAAATCTCTTGTCTAGAGCTAGGCCTAGGTCTTTGCTCCACTGGATATGCGTGGGGGACGCGTAGACGACAGACCTAGCCGTAACTCTGGAAGCCCGTTTCGGACATTGACACAACCTTAGTCAGCCCCAAAACGCGAGACCAGCCGCAGTTGCCGATATATGACGACACCGTTTGGCACCTTGTGTCATCGTCTGTTTGCTGGTCTAATTGGATAGCACCACCTGTTCTGTCCCGTCGGTCGAGGAGAATCATTTCCCAACGTCCAAGTATCGACATCCAGCGGCGCGCGCCTATTGGTCTCGCCTTGGCAGGCAATAACTAAAGAGACGGGTGAATTCCGCACAGCCGACCGCCAACAGAAGCTGCGATGCTTTTCTGAGCTTCTTAATACAGCTTAGAATATTCATGATGAATATTTGTGATTGCTTTGGTTAGAACAGTTTCATGGAGTGACAGATACATAGCCAAATTATTTTGATAGCCACTATGACCGTTTGTTAACGCCTGGATAAAATCCTACATAAGTCCCTGCATCATCTGAACAATTCCTAATTAAATAAATTTCGAACCTGTACTGCCTTGAATCCCTACACGAGTTCAGAAATCTCATACGGCAGCGGGATTGAACTTTTAGATTAACCGTGGAACAGAACTTAGACGTAACAGGAACGGAACTCGATTCTTGCGGTACAGCCGTGCCGTCTTGGGCGACAGAATTCCGATGACACAAGACAGGGAAGATTATAGCCAATGCATCAGTACAGTTTTTACGAAAGTTGCCTGGGAACATTTTGGAAAAATGGTTATAAGCGTTTTTTTTTTCATTAAGGCTCTGTTCACTGAAGTCTTTCATAGAACTTTTTTTTTAAACTACAGCTAAGACGTCATTAAACGGGTCAAATTTCAGAATTTATCGTTACAGTATACGTCCCATTAGACTGGCAACGGCATAACCGACGGATACAGTGGCGGTGATGTGTGATTTGCCTTCACGGAAAACTGGGCTAAAATATGCCCACGGATCGCATTCCGACGGGCCGCAAGGGGCTACCTAGGGAATTTGATTCAATCAGAAAATTGAGAGATAGGCAAACGATCGATGCAACGACGCGGTGAAATGAGTTCCTAGGCCCTCTGTCCAGAACCACTGGTCCAAACCCCCCCCCCGCCCGCTCCTTCCCCGATTGGAGATGTGCAGATGAATCATCGTGTCGCTTTGCGCAAGCCGGGTATGTGGACTGAATGGAAACAGGATCCCGAGGCGCTAAATCAAGAGTAACATGACGCATACATGCACTCATAATAGGGGTTACAACTCCTTTGGAATGCATTAGGGATGCATACGCCAATAATGGGTGTTTAAAATGTCCTGAAACCTGCCCTTCAGTACGTACGGGCAACACCCAAGATGAAAAAAAAACTAAGGCATGAAGAGCAATTCATTATTGATTGATAAGATCCGTTCCTAGACTTGATTTCAGGTCTGTGTGGGCCAGGGATTTGTTCGTTCGGGAATAGACTGCGCTGGCTGGGTCGTCCTGCCGTCTGACGACTGGTATTACGTCCAGGTGGCTGGATGCAGAAGACAGCAGTCGGAGAGGATGTGGAAAGGGGGCAACCCGAGGGAAAGTCTAGGCGCAGTTCTCTTGGATTGAACGGGGGGGGGGCTTTATAGACTTTGTGAATCCATGCAACAGCACTCCCCTTTCCAAACGACCTCCACCTGGGATTTACTTCGGTTTGGGATAAACCATCAATCGCCAGATTTCATTTCGACATGGCATTCCACTAGGTCTCTCCAAAAATTGAAGCAAAATTCAGCTGTTGCCAGGAGCCACTACAACCTTCTGCAAAATCAAGCGGTCGAAAAATGTTCGAGTCCCCATCGCTTTCAAAAACAGAGACACAAAAAAAAGGCAAACTAGAGATAAGAACCAGAGTGGAAAATACAAATGACCTCCAGTACATGACTTTTGTGACACTTTAATGACGATAAACGCGTAATTTTGGGTCTGTTCATAGTCTTTTACTAACACGGAAGATGATAGAGGCCAGTGTCCATGACTGTACTTCGCCGGAAAGACCGAGTCGGTCAATGGTGCGCGTGCCGTCTCCATCGGTTAAAAAAGAAAAGAAATTGGGACAAGCTTAGAAACTGCACTAACCCCAACCCCCAAAGGTGTGTGTAAAATCATACTGAAATAGGAGTCGAGGATTTAGCCCGGTTAAGCTTAAATAACATTAGGTACATTGGTGACCTATCTGGTTTTCCAAATGGGAGCACTATATGTATGTACCATTCCGATTTTTTTTACCATGGAACACCACCCTTTCCCCGCGGATACGCCACTGGTGCACATTCTAATGTAACATAATTGGATTCTGCGATCTTTTGTTCCAGTGTTGAGGATACCACGTTTATTGACGCCGAGAGGCCCATACCGGCCTTTATTACGCGTACCTGAAGAGCGCCTCCGGGGGCCCGTAGTCGGGGCCAGTGAACCGTTCGGTTTTCAACTTTAACGATTGGGACAATGGAAAAATGACTAGCAGTTTCCAAAGGGGGACCCCCAGCCCAGGAAATGGCAAAACCTACTGCTGTCCCTTTCATACAACACCCGGATACAGTGTAGAGTGATGATTAATTTTTTTGAAATATATCATCGCGGGAGATGGCATACAGCGAGTTGGGAGACGACGTAGACTCGTATTTTTTTCTGTGTAATACACAGAAACAATACGTACAGTTTCATCCTGCGCATTACGAGCGATTCACAATGGTGCGCCTCTAAGAATTGGCAACGCGTTGACCAATCACAACGCGCGAAATCTGTCAAACCTTTCCAAACGCGCATTTGATCGACAGATTTCGCGCAGTGTGATTGGCCAACACGTCGCGAACTCCTGGAGGAGCACTATATATTGTGAATCGCCCATGTTACATGTAGATGTACTTGCATCTCATGCATCCTGTGATGACATGGGATGCGCGTTGCAACCAATGTTTCAGAAAGAACCCAAACAAGTGATGCGATAAGCAGAACGCACCAATCATCTAATCCATCTCCCCCCGGAAAGGGCAGGTATTTGCAAAAAAGCCATCGCTAAGGCAAATACTGTAATTCTACAGAAAAGTTGGTTCATCCCAATGGTATCAACGACTTTTAAATGCGTCGATGAGCAGCAAAGCCGATAACTCCCGTGTGAAAGAACTCCCGTTCTTTCCGGTGACAAAGGAAGTCCAAGTCAAATGTTGTCAAATCTACACGTCGTTTTATACTTTTACAAGCAATCCAAAGCGCGCACTAACCTTTCGGGAGCTTAACAGTGCTTAACAATTAATGTTAAATCGTATTGAAATTGGAGGATTTGGGACTGTTAGGGTTAATGGATCCATTTTGACGCACAAAACACTACTTGCACCTTCGTTTTCATGGTGGCACGGAGTAAAATACCGTCATATATTGTTGCCCTTCCTATATATTATCCAACATTCAAACTTGATTGCCTTTTTTTTAATGCAAAGGTACTGCACGTGTGGCTCACAGAAAGTCTGGTAGCTGGGCAGAAACCGGTGTGAGAAGGATTTTCAGATTACAAGAAACGATGCAAACACTGCCAACTGCATTACATTAAAAAAGGCTCCAAATCCTGCCACTGCGAGAAGTCCGTGCGGGCAGGCACACGACGAAAACTGAAACTGCGTCCTGGCTAATTCGTGGTGGGTTTCGTCCACTCAAACGACCGAAATTCCCACTCGTCAACAATCCACCTGTCTCAAAACGTTTCCACAACCACTTTGAACAGCCAAAACCGAAAATTATGAGGAAGAGACAGGTCTACGATCGAGGAAATAGTTCAAAGCAGAAGACTGACTACGCAGGTTTGGTGGACAGTGTCATTGACATATATTCCTGTCTCCATTTACAATTATGTATTCAAAAGCGGAAATTCGAAGCGATATGTGCTTACATCACGGACGTATATTAAAAAAAACCTGGACTTACTACGTCTTTGTATGAAATAGAAGCCAATCAGCGGTCATTTTACCGAGCCGAATACAAATGCAGGGGTTGGCTAGCTTCTATCGACGTCAGGAATAACGAAGGCGGGCATTGCTAGGAAAGCTTTGTATTCGGCTTGGTAAAATGGCCGCGAGTGGATTCAATGATCTCTATAAGCTGATTAAGGGCATTAAAGTCCAGATTTTATTATACACGTCCGTGGCTTCCACTATCACCACCAACCAATGTTCCCGGTTGGCGATACGGATGATTAAATCGACAGCACTGACTCATGTTAATATGAATGCGAATAGTCCGCTGCAAAGCAGGATATCAAAATGCTCAATGTGCAGGTTCATTAAGGTCATGGCCTTCCATTCGGTGGTACTGTTTACATTTAGCGCAATCCAGTCGCGTGGTTGAAAAAGGTCTATAATGACTTCTAATGTGCCGGTACATGTATAGGGTGCGTCTCTGAAACTTAATACAAAAATGACAGCATCATCAACTCGCGTAATCCACAGACTGCATTCTGATCTTGAAGTCCAACTCTCATTAAAGTTGCTCATGAAACTCGGAAAGATAGAAACTTTCAGGGAATCACCGCTAAGACATGAGACATATAATTTCACTCCGTTTCGTGGTCTACATCAGTTCAGTCGAGTCATTGAACAGGGAATCTCACGGTGCCGTGCATACTTTAAAAAAATTAAAATAATAATATCCAGCAAAGACATCATTTTTCCATCTCCCCTATATTTTGATTTATTGAGGGGAGGTTAAAAACTGGACACTCGTGATGTACAACCCGCTGTGCGACCCCCCCCCAAAAAAAAGAAATCCAAAATGTGTAAATACTCAGATCAACCACATTCTAAGATGCAAATGAGCTCGTGCTACTGAATCACTTTTTAATGGAACTCCGAAGAGTGTTCAGCCTGCATATTGCAACACACTGAGAGAACAAAAGAAGAGCCGATACGGACATTTCAAAATAGTGTGCCTCCAAGAGTTTGCAACGCGTTGACCAATCACAATGCGCGAAATCTGTTGACCCTCTCCAAGCGAGCATTGGGTTGACAGGTCGCGAAGTCTTGGACGCGCACCATTGTGAATCGCTGGTATTAATGTTTTTGGCTTTCAACGAAGAGACAAATTATACAGATTAAAAACTCAGCACAAGCGCTTGTACATCTACGAACACGTATACAATTCAGGGAGTAGTCATGATTTTCAAGGTGCTCTCAACATTCAAGTTACTTCTTCAGTGATTAATGAATACTACAGCGATGATTCATCAACATGCATATCCAACTACATTGGCATTTCTTCCTTGATTGTGTTTCATCGGTTTGAGTTCAAAGTGAGGTTTAACTAAAGCAACATTGCTAATCACAAACAGTATTCACAGGAAAAATTTCCTGTAGTAACAACAGGCCTTTTCGAGATCTAAACAAGACTGGATGCAGACATCGTTGAAACAATTTTTCCAAAGTCTTCCTTTGTGATGTTCCCCGATGTTCGAAGACTTCAAGTCCATCGGGCGGAGACCGCTCGTCCCTCGTGACTCAGAGTTCCAGCAGGCCGCTCTCCCGGACGACCTCCAAGGCTGAGAGGTGGCCCAGCAGGTGGCGGGCCAGGCCGCGGAGCTCCCGGCGCAGGGTGGACTGGCCGGAGTCTGACCCCGCCCGCCCCGCCCGTGGGTAGGCCTTGGCGTTGAGGAGCTTGTCCAGGAGGTAGTGCAGCCACAGCACGTTGGTGTGGGGGTTCCAGGGCTCCCAGTTGTTGCTTCCAGACGACGATGTAAGACAGGATACCAACAGATTATCAAACATGTAAATGTTCCACCTTCCTTTGCCAAAAGACGGTGGCATTTGTGTGTTAACTCAGCATACCCACTTCATCGGACACTTTTAGCACCATTTACATCTCACTCATCCATATCTACAAATTTACATTTCACGAAGTGCACAAGTCAATAAAACACAATCCTTTAATTTTTTGTACGTGTATATAAGGAGGCACATATGGCAAATCTTGACCAAACCAAGGAAAATCAGTCCAACATCTACCCTCCACCTCTCCAGTTTTTGCTTTCGTCATTCTTCAGCAACAGCGCAACCAAAATATAACACAGATGGCAACAGAGGGCCTCCTTTGCTTGAGACTGATAAGCATCGACCCGGGGGCCAACGACACCTGACAATGCATTGCATGGCCTCTTAGATGTTACAATTTCAGAACATCTTCGGCAGTGACCTGTATCACTGCTTGGATTCCTTCCAAACCACCTTAAATCATGCAAGAAGACTCGGGTCACATGCTGCTGAATGGTTAACCCTTGTGCTCACCTGTTTTCACTTTGCATCTTCCGGTACACATCAAACTGCAGGTCGCCGCGGCCGGTGAAGAGGGTTTCATCGGTGGAGAGATCACAGTACACGGTGCAACCATCTAAGTCAGAAAAGTGCGCCTCAGCTTATCAAGTTCCATGAGATACATGCACGTGAATGTAGGGTCAACATCCACCCCTAATCACTGGACCAACTTCTAGTACACCATTATCACAAGAGTAGAATAACTCCTACACTGTAACATGTACATCAAATGGGATTCAAGCATGATCTCTTCCCCAGCTGAAACCTGAAGACTTTTTAAAATCTATACCAGATCATCTCAACCTCCCTCAGCCACTCTCTCTCTCTTCTATTATGCCCTATCAACTTTTCTCCACTCACAATCAACTCGGTCTCTACTATTTCCAGCCAGAAGCTGAAGACCTTCCTCCCAGCCCAGGACAACTATACAATCCTCCACCCAGGGTGGTTCCCGCCTGCACCCATGAGACACACACCTTGCCCTCTTTCACCTCAAGATACTCCTTCCCAACCAGGGACATCTTACAATCCACTGCCGGTCCCCCGCAACAAGAAGCTGCCTACCTTTCTCAAGTCATGACAAGGTGGAATCGATGATCCCCCCAAGACGCCAACTCTGATCTCTTCCCCTTCAAGGAACTCCTTCAAGACCACATCTTCCAATCTCCCAACCCTCCCCCATCTACCAGCACCACAGGCTGCCTACCTTTCTCGAGTCGTGACAGGGTGAAATCGATGATCCCCGCCTGCACCCCATGGGACACCACCCTGACCTCTTCCCCCTCCAGCAAGAAGCTGAGCTGCTTCCTGGGGGTCGGGAGAACCAAGACGTTGCCCCAGTGCAGGTCCCGATGCTCAAACGCTAGGGACTGCTCAGCCACGGCGAGGGACAGCGCGACCTGCTGGAAGATGCTGACAGCCTGATGGACAGTCTCAAGCTGTGGACACGACAAGTGGAAGACTGGTTAAATCTCACAGTAGAAAATGTGGACATACCTGAACGTGTACTTAAATTATGTCTAAATTTATTAGTACTACAAATTGAACAGTGTAACAAGCTTATACGTGACCCGCACTGCAAAAAGATGTATTAAGTCCCCCAATGCAAAAACCGCATAATGGCCCATTCTACGTGCCGAGGGTGAAAATATTTGGAATTATTTTGAGGCCACCTGCTTGAACAGAAAGCCTCGGTGGATCCCAGCAAATTCGTTCTTGATTGTTATCCTCACAGGCTGCAAATTCGATGATGTGCCCATAAGGACTAAGCAAGGACGGCAAGCAGTTCGTACATGTATGTGATACAGTTACGGTACAGAAAACATACACTCATTCGCACACGCATTGGTGAAGTTTGTTCAATAAGGCGACCCCCAAAATAGACAGAGCGCATGCGTGTAGCACTAGAAGGGTTACTGGTATTGATGTACTCATGCTGGCCGATTATCAACCACGGCCTGTGCTGCTAATAAAGAGACATCAGTCAAGCAGTGTGGGACTTGTCATTTGACACTTCTTGGCAATCGCAGCGAAGGAAACTGACACAGAAGCGCGATTTCTTTAATGCCGACTTACTCTTAGGAATTTTTGTGCTTTTGTGGGAAAGGGGTCGAGAAAAACATGCCAACTTATATGAAATAATGACTTATAAATGCCGACTTAGAAATGAAATTTTCAATGGAAATGCATTACACACGATCGGGACTTCTTGTCAAAAGGCGGACTTAGGCGATATAAACGAGTTACGCGATGCCGACTCAGTCAGAGTTTACTGTACATATTACTCAAATTCCCAAAATGTGACATACATGTAATACATCTTTTTTGCAGAGTAGGTCACATATTTCTTTGTAATGTGGGACCTGTACAAAAATCAAGCTACTAAAAAGTCAACATAATCAGATTCATTAACCCTAACCCTCCTCAACCCTCCAAAACCCTTTGGGCAGTTGGGAAGACTTTGGAGGATTGAGGGTGAATGGCTAAAGTTCAAAGAATGCCATGCGTGAAGGTTATGGGTTAGACCTTGTGTTGTTTTTGCTTAGTCAAGCACAAATGCAGCCCTTTTGAATCAACTGCATGGCTCAAGAATGTCATTTGCACTGCCTCAATGTAATAACAGGAATTGCTGGAAGACTTCTCCCAAAAAACATTTGGGAGAAATTTTTGGAGGATTTTGGCTGAATGCAAGTTTTTCATGTCGAAAATTGGAGGAGTTTGGAGGATTGAGGATGGTTCCTAGTAAAAAGGCCTTGGAGGGTTAGGGTTTAGCAGTTAGTTATTTAAAAAATATCAAGTAAGACCAAATGGATTATTAGGAGGATCTATCAAGAATAAACAATTGAGCAGTGTTAACCATTTCCTGCCGGCTGCTTTTAAAAATGCAGTGCCTATACACGGGCAATTTTTCAATATCTTCGGTTTTCAAAAATCTTCAAAATTCTTATTTTTTTTTCCTGAATGCCTAAACCCCATCGAGTGACTGTCTGGTGGCTACTCTAATCTGACAAACAACATCTATTGATGCCTGAGTATTTCAGCCAGGCCTGCTGCCTTGTAAAAGAGCCCAGGTTGTGTAGCGTTACATCTGTTACGTTACATGTGTTACGTCTCTTGGAAAATCGTCAAAAAAATGTTTGTACATGTATCACAAGCAAGAAAGGGATAGAGAGTAGGCTAAGGAAATTCGGAACACTGACAGAACTAGCGGCATCAAAGTGTCATACGGTACCTTTTTGTTCTCGAGGTCCACTCCACCATCGGCGAATTCAAACACAATGAACAACTGGTCTTTGGGGAAACAATCTGGAAACAATAGTCAAGGCATGTCACAACAATTGTGCACATTAGCAAACAACAACTGTACCGCCCATGCGCATTGTGCCTTCAAAGTTAAAATGCATTCACAAAGTTTACACTCAAAGCAGGCATGACATTTGACCTGGACAGAAAAATGGGAAAAAGCGGCCCCCAGAAGGACAGGTGTAATGACTGCAGTGCAGGTATGTCAGACAACGGAGGAAATGATTGGAAAGGAAAAGGAAGACAAAATGAAATCCTCTTTAAGTAGGAAAAATATTATGCCAAAATTTCAAAAACAAAACAAAAAAAATTGAGTTTCAGGCAACTGAACTTCAAAAGACTCAGAACTGCAATCACCTACAATCTTAAGTATGCAGCCATACTATGAAGTGTTACAACTCTAATACACTTCTTTCCTCCCGCCTTGGGGATCACCAACCTGGCCTGTCATTCTCCGATTCCTTTCTGCAGCGGTACTCATCCCAGCGATCCAGCAGTGTCTCGGGGTAGCGGCCTTGACAGCAAGACACACCACTGACGGCAATGAACCCGCCTGTGGCGCTTTGGCCGCCTTCAACTTCATTGAGGGCGCTCAACTCCCTGCGAACGGATTGCATGAGGAAAGGGAAAATGACAAATTGGTGAAGCCAAACAAATGGATGAACAAACGAACAACTGGGTGAACAAATGGACAAACAAATGGAAAGTAAACAAAGACGGGGGCAGTGCCGTAGTTAGGACCACCAAAAGTTCTTTTGGAGTCCCTTCACAAGTTCTTTCAACAGACCAGTCATGAACATGAACAACACTGGACAGGGCAGGGCTTGAAGGGATTCCCCCCCCCCCCCGAATGAAAACAGAAAGATCAGAAAAGAATAACGGTTGGGGACAGAGGACATAGGAATCTGAGGCTAGAGTTACTGAGAGCTATCTTGGTCAAACCTTGAGATGACGATTTCCGGAAGGATCTCTTCAAATGATTTCTGTTGCTCCCCGTTCACTTGGAAGTCCCCCTCTATCGGGACAATCTACCATGTGCAAGACAAACCATACAATCACATGACATTTACATTTTCAACACACACACACAAAAATCAAATCTGTGCACTTCTGATGTTGGAAAACTACACCTTGTGGATGCGATGCCTAACATATGATCACCATTTTCACACTGTGAAACAAACAAGTCAACTTGTACCACACTAGAAACAAGCCTACATGTGCTGAAGAGGGCCTACAGAGTAGTAGGTTAGATGTACCGTGCATGTAAGTGGTTCAAACAAACAACTGAACAAGAGAAACCCGAGAGAAATATGTTTATTGGCCTGTCAGGAGCTCAAAGGAAAGTTTGGCAGCATTATATCGACGCCTGCTAGTGTTACAACCCCCTCCGTGCCAAACAAACTTACATGTACCTTAAGCACCACAGTGTGGCCCTGGGGATTGACGGTCCTGAACACCTCCCCGTAGACCCCTTCTCCAATTTTGATGCACCCCTCCATCATAGCCCTGGGGATACCCTGGCTGAAGGGTACGGGACACGCCTGGTCACACTGCTGGAGGACTTTCTGCCGAGCAGTGATGAACCGGCCGGTAGCCTTGCTCTTCACTGGTGTCAGGGCATCCTACATGTACAAGCACATGTACCGGTATATCAAAATGCAGAAGAGTCAAGACTGCGTGCCCAATTTCTGCCAGTGATTCGTGTACATCAAAAGACTGTTGTCACGGTTGTGAATTTGTGAGCCTGTTCTGGCGAATGTTTAATAGCAAGAGCTGATATTAAGAAAGAACTGCACCAGTAGCATACCTTGAACCTAAGGCAGTAGCTGTCAGAAAGCAGTAGATTCTTGGAACAGTTGGGAGTGGTAAAAGTTCCCTTCCTCACTAGCGTCTCAACCTCATTTTCCACTTCTTCACTGACAGTTGGCTTTCCTCTCTGACAAGAGAGTGCTGATGATGAGGAGTGGCGTCTCAGATCATCTCCCGACAAGGGCGCGATGACCACAGAGCAAGGACTGATGACTAGGTCAAGCGAACTGTCATTGCTATTGAACAGCTGGGGTCTCCCTTCGGCCCGGTTAATGCCATTTAGACCAAGCACAGAGATGTCGTTCGTGAGATCTATGAGGTCCATGCTTTGCAGCTCTCCAGTCTTGCAAGAGGAACACCCACAGTTTGCCCTATGGCCATCTCCGTCCCTCTGAGTGGCATTCTGGACAGGAATTAAAACTGGACTTTCCGTCTCAACATGTCTGGCCCGGTTGATAGAACAATTCCTGGTAATTTCAATATTCTGATGGCTTGATCTGGTCACCCGTCTTGTCCACAGATCGATGCCTAAGCTCTTATTAGTGCAAGTTCTCATGTCATTCGGAGTGCTGGCATTAACATGGCTGTGGTTGCATGTTTTCTCCCGTGAGGGAGGGAACACCTCAGGAGACCCGAACACGCTGTCATCCGAGGATGCTCCCTGGGGATTCCTGCGGGCAGGCTTGTCGGTAGCACAGCTGCCACTATTGGACACGTCGGCTGAGTATTCAAACAGGTCACAGCTGGCGTCAAAGGTGAGGTCGGAGGAGTCTCTCCATCCCCGCTTGCTCGAGGAACTTAAGTTCCTCTCAATTGGGGAGTGAATCAGGTCAAACCTGGCCAGAGCACTCTTTGCTCTGCAACTTCTTTGTTTGGTCTCCTCTACCACTCGGTCCTGCTGACAGCTGCTACTAGCGTCAGCTGCAGCCTTCTGCTTTCTGCTCAGTTTGGTCACCCTCTTCCCCCGCGCTTTCGGGGGGAGTCCCTTGACAGTTTCACTGGGGAGTTGCGCACGATTTTCTTTCCCATTGACCGGTTGCTTCTTGGCCGTGCCCTTCCTAGGCACTGGCTTCTTTCTGGCCTGGCTGGATTTGACATTCTTTTCCTTTTTGACATATGAATTGAAAGAAAAGTGAACAAAACTAACTTGAGATCAATGCATAACTGTTTCCAGTGGTTCTAACAATGTGCTCGAGCACTACAAAATTCGTGTTAGCCACAGGGGACTGTCAATAAACCAGGCATGTGCATAGTTGACTTCAAAGTCACGGTGGATAAAACAAAGTCTGCAGGAACACGTAAAAAGCTCTGATGAGATTTCATTTGCAGAATATTTGAAATGACATCTACATGTAGAGAGAGATCTGTTATGGACACTGTTGGACAGTTATGAGATTTGAAAAGCCAGGTAATTTATAAGTCGTTGTTCAGAGTCTCCAACACAACGAAGCGTCCACAGATGTACATGTAGAATAAATGAATGAGTGACATACATATCTATCTTTGGGGAACAAGCTGATATATTGCCTAATGAGGGTTTAATAGCGACATTATCCACACAGTTTCTAACTTGTATAGGGATCAATTTTTCCTCTAAAAACGCAATCATTAATATGCTGAAAGTTTCAGAAGGCCATTCATTTCCCAATCTTTCGATCACTTTTTAACAGCAAATTACGCCAAACTGGCAGCCTTGAGGCAACCCAACTCCCACCTTACCCTGAGTGCTGTCGTGACTTTGTGCTGGGCTTTCTTGTTAGGAAACCACTCTTCGTCTGTATGGGGACTGCTGCTCTTATCAATGCTGTCGTAATTAATGTAAAAGGAAAAGGACAGGCAGATTTGATGAGAACAAAATATTACTGCAATTTGTTTCACTATGCACATGTAAACCAGTTTGGCGTCACACTACAACGTGCCAAATTCGTACCCAAGAAAATTTCATTGTGCATGCAATTTGTGATGTCATTCTTTAATCCACAAATACAATGTAGGAACATGTACATGTACACATATGTACTAGTCAGCCATTAACATTTCATGGGTTACACCAAGGAGAATGCAGATCTCAGCCAAACACGAAGCAAAGAAACTTTCTCTGTTCACTTGTAACAAGTTCAGTTCACGTTCAGTGTAATTCTTGATACGGTACGTGTACTGAGACTTTTGCTTTTCTACGCCTGTACATGTACATGAAGGGAAATTCACTGAATCAGTTGGCAAACGTTGGCAAATGTACATTTTTCAACTTAGGCCTATTGTTCATGTACACGTATGGAGGATGAAACACACAGGAACTAAGACTTTTGTAGCATTCACTGCATGTGCACATCACAAAGTGTGAAAAAATTTGACCCCTTTTTTGACAGAAAAAGAAAATGTCACTCAGTAAATGTACATGTACGTGTATGCTGTATATTCACTGCTCTGTAAAACAAATACATTTGTACACGGTGTACATGTAAGCTGTCATAATGTGAAGTTTAATTTCCTGCCACTGAGAAACAATGTCTGTCAAAGACGTGGTGTGGGCTAAACCTTGTGACGAGCAGGCTTACAGGAACAGGCAACCACTGCCCACGGAGATTGCTCCAAAACAGGATGCTGGTGTGGCTAATGGGCCAATGGCACTCCTTCATGATGACTTAAACAGGAAGCTGCTTGTGGAACCACAGTGTGGACACTTCTGTCCCTTTCAAGGCCACACAGGACTTGGTAAACAGGTAACTACATGTACATGTACATGTAGAACTGACAACTCAGATGGGTGTGATGTTCTTCAAGGTTTAATATGATGGTACATGTAGGTGTATGCAATGGTGGCTTGACACAAGCAAACCCAGTGTTCTGGACAAGGAGTCAATATATAGTTATGAATCTGTTTGAATTTCGCAGATGCGCCTGTCAATGTACATGTAAGTGTGTTTGGTTTAAGCAGTTTACAGTTCATACATTTATGTGCATGTACTGTATGGTCGTGTTTATATTTACATGTACTGTACATGCAGTGTGTCATACATGTACATGTACCAGTGCAGATTGTTCAGTGTGTAGTAAGCGGTAGAACTTTCAATGACTTAACGGGCTAAACTTCTCCTTGAATGAGTTGTACATGTACATGTATGTACCGGTACTGCATGCATCACAAGGCAATGAAAAAAGGTCACCAGTGAACCTTGACAGGGTACATACATGTATACATGTACGTACATTGTACATACAATATGTACATGTATACGTGCATGCATGTGTGATGATCGATAGCATCATGATGGGGGGGGGGACATGTTGAGGAGGAGGGAACATCCTGAATTACATAGTGCAACAACGAAGGATCAGTTTTGCACCATGTACATGTACATATACATGTACATGTACGTGTACAGTATGTTCATGATCTTTGCTTGTACAGTGTTACTACTGCACTTCAAGTATGTACATGTAGCTTGTGTAATGTACATGTACAACATGTATGTACAATGTAGGTCTGGTGGTGCTCTGAGGAAAGTCATCAGCACCTCATCAAAGTAAATATGCAACGCCGTCCAAGCTAAACCTACAAGTCTGCACTCGTACACGGCACTAATGTTCCATGTTCACAATCATCCCATTCACCATGCAGATACGAATAGATTTGCTGATTAAAACTACCATTCATTTCCAGTAAAGTGAGTAAACCATCATTCCACAAGCAGGGCGGATGAGCGTATAACGGACATCCATGTACATGCCACTTCTATCCAACATAAGAATATGTTGGATAGAAGTGACATGTACATGGATAACTGCTCGTGGAATGATGGCTTACAGCAAATGAATGGTACATGTGTGTATGTGTACAGTGTGTATTTGCCTGCAACTGGGGACCCCCTATTGTTCCTCATTTGTTCATACTTTAACTTTTTTAGAAAACCATCCATATGTTTTGTACACAGTTGTCAATCGGGGACCCTCTGTCAATCGGGGACCTTATTGTCCTCTATTGTTCAGGGTCCCCAAATGAATGCAGAAACAAACTCACATACACATACATGTACATGGGCAAACAGTGGAATGAGTGTGCACCCGCATGGACACCAAAACCAAAAATCAGCTACAAACATTTTGTGCAGACATGCACAGTACGTGTGCAAAATGAATGTTTTTGAAAATGCAGAGCAGCCAGATTAAACATATCTTTTTTTTCCTTGGTGCATCTTATTTTGGGGGTTGGAGCGTGGAAAAAAGGAGGCGGCCTGGGGACTAACAGGTACAAGTACATATGTACAGGTACAGGCAGCAACATCAGCCGCTTTTCAATTCTGTCGACAGTGGTCCTCAATAATATTTACACATGTACAATGTCGTCGTTCTTTTCCACAGGAATTCTCAGAAATTGCTCATCAGAAGCAGCATCTGCCTCTCTGTTTCTATGGAAGTGACATCTGCTGGACTGTGACCTTGGGAGTTCAAAAGACCCCTGTTTACCAAAGCGTTAAAGAGACAGTATTGGCAGATCTACTGAGAACAACACAATAACACTCACCAGCACAATAGCACTAACCAGCTACAATGTACACATACATGTACATGTATTAAGACCACTGAGTAAAGGGATCTCAGTTTGATCACTGGTACCCGAAGTGGGCTACCAGCTTGTGCACTTAAGTGCACCTGTTAACTGGATTCAAAAAGAAGCTTTGGAATCACAGCCATGGATGTCACTTGCAAGATGCATCACTGGGAAAAATTCTACGTGTACTGGTGCCGCCTCTTGTTGCTGGGCATCTCTGTGCTGGCAGTCAAGGTAAGGACCAGCTGTTCGGCAAACTACAGCGGCTGCATTAACATGACCAACGAAAGAACTGGCACCCTGGAAGGCCTTGACTGTAATTGCAATAGCCAGATGCTGCTATTGTCAGACCAGCTCCCACAAATAAGCAGCTTAATTCTGGATGGAGGCGACTGCCCGGCGAGCTGGGATGCGGTCCGCTGGTTAACCACACAACTTCAGTCGCCTGAACTCTTGGAATTCCTCTCTGTGAGCAACTCCAGAATGGACATCAGAGAGCATGATATGAACCTACTGCAAAACCTCAAGGAGTTCTCAGTTTCACGGGGATCAGCTAGATTCCTCCATCCTAGGTCATTTTCACAACTGAGGCATTTAGAGAGCTTGACTTTGAAAGGGCTCCGATTGGAACATTTTCCAGACGCAGTAACAGGTAACTTCCAGACATCCATCAACCAAACAGACATCACTGACATGCCGCTGCCAAGCTTGCAACACCTGGATCTCTCTGGCAATGCTATCTCAGACATTCCTGACAGGGCCTTCCTCCACCTGTTTAACCTGACATACCTGGACTTGGCTAAAAACAGGCTGCAGAGACTAGATGCCGAGCCCTTGAGATACCTGAGGAAACTCCGTACCCTCAATGTTAGTCTCAACAGAATATTTGCCCTGCCACACCAAGGTTTTTCGGGCATACTGCCGCACTTACAAACCCTCGTCATGAAAAATGCTGGCATTTTCACCCTCAGTATGGGCACTTTCGAGGGTCTCGCGCACCTCCAGTCCCTGGACCTTTCATTTGGTGTTATGGCCACCGTTCATCCACTATCTCTCCAAGGACTGGACAGTCTTGAAGAGATCAATATGTTCTTCAATCCAATGTTGCAATCTCTTCCCGAGCAACTTTTACGTCCAGTCAACAAGACATTACGAAAAATCAACCTTAGTGAATGTAAGCTTTCCAGCATCCCAAAACAATTTTTGGAAGAGCTGCCTTGGCTCGAAGAAGTTAATTTGTCCACAAATAAAATCTCCTCTATGGTAAACATCTCCTTCAAGGGCTCAACCCGACTGAAAAGACTAAACATCGCTTGCAACTCTGTCACCGATATCCCATTGAATTTTTTTGAGCAGACCCCTTCCCTTGAGGCTGTGCACTTGGAAGGGAATTCAATTGCCTCTGTTCGAGGTTTCACTTTCTGGAACCTGGATAATTTGCAAAGCATTGACCTTTCCCAAAACAATCTCACCTTCGTGGAAAAACAAGCCTTTTACAATCTCCAGTCACTCGAGACTTTGAACCTGAACAATAATTTCTTGGCGAGGGTTCCCAACAACGCTTTGTACAACATACCCGCCCTGCAGGAACTGAATTTGGCAGACAACCACCTGACAAACTTTCCAGAGCTGCCATTTGTCAATAGAGATGCCCTGAATGCAAGAATGTATCCCAAGAAGGCGGTAATCGTTGACATGCGCCGCAACTGGCTTACGTGCGACTGTCACACGTACAGACTCATCGGCGATCACGAATACATTGACATGTTTTGGCCTGGTGGAAATCTCCTTGCTAATCTCCGATTCAAGAAGTATGAAGAACTTCTGTGTGTGTGGCCACCCCGCTTGAGAGGTCAAGCCCTATATGCCCCTCAGCAAGAGGATAAGCTTAACCCACACTTTGCCAACTTAAAATCTCACTGTACCGATCAGTGCGAGTGTTATACACGTTGCAGCGATTCCCTGAACATAACACTTTGCTACGGTAATCTAAAAAGTGTGCCACAAAATCTCTCCAAGGACACCAACGTTTTAGACCTCAGTGGGAACCACCTTGTGAAGATCGGGGGAACGTTCCAGGGGCTAGCAAGCCTCACGGCCCTGTATCTTGAATATAATCAAATACGTGCTGTTACTCAGGAGGATTTCCAAAGCTTGCCCAATTTGACGTTACTTAATCTTCAGCATAATGCCATTTCGACCATAGAACCAGAAAGCTTTGCTAACCTACAGAAACTGCAGTTCCTGTATCTTGACCACAACCTGCTGACTGGAATGCAAAAGGAAGTCCTGAATAGCATCCCACCACTCAAGGAAATCACCCTCAACAGCAACCCCCTAATTTGCGACTGTGACCTGATGTGGTTGAAAGACTGGCTGCAAGTGCAAGCCATCAGTATGGACGATGTCGACAGCATTAACTGCACAACACAGTCAAATGAAACAGGTGCAGTGGTATACTTTGACGACCATAAATTCATGTGCAACTCCACAGATGTTGATGTTATCATTCACGATCAAAATGCGGAAACAGTAACAGTGTGTTTCGGGGTTCTGGTGTTTCTAATGAGCATCTCAGCCATTGCATACCGATTCCGACGAGTCATCCAGGTGATAGTCTATAATCGCACTGGCTGGCGCTTCAGCAACAAGCTGGACAAGGACATGACAAGGGCCTACCTTTATGACGCCTTCATATCTTTCAGCACCGACGACTTAGACTTTGTTACCCAGGAGCTGGTCCCCAAACTGGAGGGCCACCGGCCCCCTTTCAGACTGTGCATTCACCAGCGGGACTTTGTCGTTGGGGAGTGTATCTCCACCAACATCATCAATGCTGTGGAGACCAGCAGAAGGACCCTCATCGTGTTGTCCAACAACTTCTTGGCAAGCGAATGGTGCTCCTTCGAGTTCAAGGCAGCCCAGCAACAGCTCCTCAAGGACCACCACAAGCGTCTCATGGTCATCCTCCTGGAGAAGGTCGACAAGAACCTGCTGGACAAGGACCTGAAGCTTTACCTGTCAACCAACACTTACCTGGAACGGAGTGACACCCTGTTCTGGGAAAAGCTCTACTTTGCCATGCCAGACAAGAAAACAGTGGGCCAAATGCATTCCACCAACAATGAAGATGCTGTCACGATGGCACGGGATGAGGTTGAGCTTCAAGGGGAGCTGCAAGAACTGATCCCTTGAAATTTCATTCACTGACTGGTGGGTGAGGGGTGGAGCAAACAGGGTCATGGTCACCCCTCCCCCAATAGGGAAAATGAGTTTTGGGGACCGCCCAGAATTTAGCCTCTCAACTCAGGAATTCCTAATTCATGTTATAAAGAAAGACTTGTAGAAATCCTCAAAGTGTGGTCTCCCCCAGCAAACAAAATCGTGACTCTCTTGAAAATTTGGTTCTGGATCTGCACACACAAGTACATGTGCTCTATAGTCATTAAACAAACAATAATAATTTGTGGATTGTGATTTTCGGGGGGGGTGATGTGATGTTCGCAAGCAGCATTCTATTGTAATAACAGAGAGTGAGAATGTGTTTTAAACTTCAGGGACCTGTGAATTGCAGTATGGCAGTCTATCAGCGAAAGAGACAAGTAATCCGCATGAATCCCGTTCATGCAAGAATTGTCACACCAGCTCAGTAATGGTTCTTGATTCTGGTCACCAAATTGGTCTGTACATAGGCAGCCGCTATGGCATACAAAAATAACTCACATACATGTAGATTGCATTTTGTGTTGTCTGAAACAATCAGCTTACCCTGTGACCAGTTAACGTTGGGTTTTCTTCCCTGAAAAAAGCTGCTGGGGCGGGGTTTTTTTCTACAATTCGTCAACTTTGCAAGTAATTTCTGGCAACCACAAAATACATGTGTGTAGGGAGGCATAACTCTTGAATTTAGGCATCGGCATTTTCATTCTTTCTCCCCCCCCCAAGTTCTTTTGTTTCAGCCCTGCCCTGGTAAAAATTGTGGCGCATGTCCAGATGTCAACTGGTTCATAGCGTACATGTACGTGTGAATACATGAAGCATCACCTGTGGCCCTGTGTGATTTGGCTAATTGTTTTGGTACAAAGGAGTTGCTAGTGGGGATTTTTGTAATCTTATCATCTCTGTTGTAATGTACATGTACATGTAAGTGTGGTTTTGCTCCCTACAGGTACATGTAGCATGTACCTGCTTACCCAAACAAAGAAGGTCTTTAAAAACAGTTCTTCGTCTTCCACGTTTTGATCCAACCAAGCAGGACGCATTATAATAAGTCCATTATAGTTTCTTGAAGTCATGAAAAAAGAATTCTGAAATGAGTGTCCGCATCCCCCTGGGACAAATAAGGAAAATCATGTGTGTTTACACATGATCAAGCGCCAAGTGGTTAATGAGCAAGAGACGCTTATTTCATGTACATGTAAAGTGTATGTGTAAAGATAACCTGTGTGACACATAATAATGTGACCCACCATCCCAAAACCAGGCTGAAGTCAGTACTGGTGATGTTGGACGATTCCTCTCCTTCAACTTCTTTACACTTCAAAGTGATCCACGTTAAATCGTAATTCTGTCTACAGTAAGCTTCTCACAGTTAGTGACAGCTGTAGAACTTCCTAGAAAATCTGGACAGTGGAAGTTCCACTATATGTATTTCAGGGTTTTGAAGTTTCCTACTTCAGCCTGCTTTTGGGCTGGTGGGTCACCCTTGTTTTAAAAACAGCAGGGGGAATGTATGCCATCCTGGTCTGAAACATTCACCATCCACAGGCATACAAATCAAAGTTTACAAAAAGTGACACTCAGTGCTTATAAAAAAAAAGAAAGGTCGGCGTGTACCATAGACACATACAAAAATATTTCAAAAACTAAGCTGAATGCAGAGGCAAAAATCCAAGTCAGTCAGACTGTCTCGTGCTCTACATGTACTGTATATGTATAGGCTGGAAGTTAAATGACACTCACAAACCTGTTAGTCAGTGCACCCGAATGATTGGTTGTGCTGCCGACAGTGGCATCAGTGAAGCTGAGGTTTTCGGGAGAGCTGAAGACGTGCTGGGCCTTGGTGGTGGCTTCGGGGGAGATCCAGGCCGCGATGGTGCGCTTCTTGTGTCGGCCGTACGTACGAACGACCTGTGCACGAGAGCTGAATGCCATTGCGAAGAGGCGAGTTTAGACTCGGCCATTCAAGTCTGGTGCTGTAGACGAAAATCTGCTCGCGTTGATTTTCATTCCACACATCCCTGGTAAAATTTGCTGTTTACAGCTGTTACCGATGGAAAGGAAGGTTAGAATTACTTGTAATAATTGAAATTGCAACATTTGGAATTGATCAAAAAAAAAAAATGAAAAAGTGACTGAAACAACACACACCACGCACTCCAGGTTTGACTCTGATCAGATATCAGACCACTCGACCGTTTGCCCACTTGACTTGGGACCACTCGATCAGTGGGATAACTCAACCGTTTATCAAGTCGTCCATAAAAACAACTCGACCGTTCAAGGCGTGTACATTAGAGTTTGAGACATTTGACACAGACTGCAGATCATGTGTTTGGGCAAACTTGCGTGGGTCACGTTACTCCTTGCGACTTGACTGGCTGCACATGGAACCCGATGATGCAGCATGCACTGGACTGGCGGACGGTGCATCGGCCGCCCCAACCACCACAGTGCACAGCCGCTACAGCGATGCAGCATGCATCGGTACTGTGGTACGGCACAAAATCTGCGATGCACAGGCGCCTCGGCCACACCACACCGATAATCAGTTGCTAGTCTACTGGTGTGGGATGTGGGAGATGGTAGAACTTAGAACAAATTTTAGCCTCCCTACAATACAACTTTATAACATTTAGAAAACACTTGGGTTTTTTCATGTTTTTCAGACAAGTCTCATCGTGCTCATGGTTTGTAAACGGGGTCAGCATAGTCAGGGGTATCATATCAAGACGTGTTGTCCGTATAAGCACGGTATAATGTAGGGCCTATGGATCTCTTTCCAAATCTTTAACACGTTAAATCAAAATCTAGTCCATGATAGGGACTGCTACCCCCAGAACTATGAGGGTAAGGCATAGCAGGGAAAGGTACATGTGTACCCCCCGCTCCTCGTCGGACTCCACAGTTCTGCGGCCTTTTAGGTATTAAGGCACTAGGTATATGAAGGCCGCGGTCACGGTATAGAATTTTTAGAAACAGCCACAATTCTGAGAGCAAATAATAAAAATAAGCTTCATCCAGTCGTCCACATCTGTGTTCAAATTCATTTTAATCTTCAAGGACCATGTTGTGAACCTAACAACAACAATGGTTGGAAAAATTACCTGTTTTCTACTGTTGAATATTTGAAACATTGCACCGTGAGCAGCCAGTTTAAGTCATTTGAAGAATTGTTCAGCTCCGAGTAGAAAACATCCTGACCATTTGATTGGTCAAATTTCGGGGTTTTACATTTTCGCGCATGCGTGGTAAACTATCACAATGTTATGAAACAATATGGCTGCGCTCATGGAGGATTCATCGTGCAGCTAGCCGAGTTATGAAATTTGTTGTTTTTAAAATTGTAAGTATTAAAAATCATTTTTTGGATGAATTTTTTTGCGTAGTCCAACCATGCGTGGTAGTCGTGAAAAGGGTTCCACCTTTCCTTGTTTTCGCTGTTCAATTGGTTTTCTAACAAACCAGTCAGTGCGCGGTGTGTCATCATCAGGCATGTCAGTGACGAGTGTGCATGCTGTGGTGTTGACGGTGACCTTGGCTTGAGACAAATGGGAGATGTTGAGCGTGTTGAGAACTGAAGGGTTATCAACGGGACCTTTCAGTTTCAGAAGCATTCTTTTCAAAGGGCTAAAATGTTGCATCCTGACTCCACTTTTCTCATCATAGGCCTATATCATCTCAATCAAAGTTGGCCATCACAGAAATGCTGGAAAGACACGAATCCTGGAATGAGAAACATTTACCGATGTTTGGAAATACTTAGAAAATTCTCGTCACTCCCCATAGACTTTGTACCCAACTGCTGAAGTGGAGTCAGGATGCAACATTTTTCCTTTTCAAAGTGTACGTATGTATTTGCACATGTATCTTCATTCAGTGATGTGATGTGATACTGGTTTTATCAGAGTCACAAATCTAGATCCAGAGCATGAACAAAAACTATAAAACAAATTTGAAATATCATCAGAGACTAGCATGCGAAGCTTGACGTGGTGTAGGGAGGCATATAAATTTTTCAATTTCAACTATTTTTTTTCTGTTTTCTTTTTTCTGAAGTGATCTTGGAGAGGGAGAAATGAGATTAAGAGTCATTTTGATACAAGTTTGGATTCCATCGGACTCTGCAAAGCAAAAAATATTGATTTGAAGCAGCGAGTGATTTTGAGATGTTTTGTACATGTGCAGTGCAGAGCAAACTGTGTTTTTTTAACACCAAAATGAGCATGATGAGTGTGGATTTTGACTGAAAAGCTTTACGTTCATATTTTCAAAAAAAATCTTTGTTCTTATTACTGCCTTCCAATGAATGAATTACATGCACCTGCCGGCTTCAGTTGAAATTTCAAAACTGTGAGTCATTTTTGTTGTGTACATCTAGTCATCCCCCAGCAAGGCTTGTGGTTGTAGTTTGGCCACGTCATACTTGAATAGAGTCAGTACTTGCAGGTTGGAATAAAATAATGAAAAAAGAAGAAATGCCTCATGTGTTTTTGAAACTGTTAGGATACCAATATGTAACTTCTATTCTTATGGCGTAGCAAGAAGCTGTTCATGTACAGCTTGGCTAATATAACTTATTGGGTCGTATGAAGAAAAACTAGCAAATGCTATGAAGTTCAAGCAAACAGCAAAAGCATTTACTGAAAAGTAAAAGCATTAAGAATAAGCAGTTGCTTGAATTTGTATGAATAAAAGTGTTTCTTTTACTGTTCAGCATCTGCTTGTACAAGTAGTAGCAAATGCTTTATGCTTGTGGCTGACTCCACAGCCGAATGGTTTTGCACAATAGGGCTTCCATTGTCTGCACGTACAGACACACACAGAGCAGCATGGTGCCGTATCTTGAGACCTCAGCATGGCAGATAAGCACAATGGCAGTAATTTTGATTGCAAAAACCGTGATGAAGAAAATTGCTCTGCAACTCTCAAATCGGTACAACTGTCTGCAATCTGGTTTCTTGAGATTCCCTCCTAAAGGCATACAGCTTTTCCTGTCGAATGACATTCATGAACGCTGCCATTTTGAGCAGTAGTAAATGCTCCTCGTTTTCAAGCTTGCCCTGACCCAGTCTTGAAAAATGTCAAGTAAATACTCCAATTCTGTAGAACTTACTCATTTTGATTCCTACAAAATGAAGCAACTGCGTATTGTCAAGCACAAGCTTAAAGAATAAAAAGTAAATACTTCTACTTTTCAGCAATTGCACTAAAGTAGAAGTGTTTGCTCCATTATTATTCATACATAGTAAATGCTTCAAAAATGGTAGTAAAAGCAAATGCTACTTTTATTCATGCGACCCATTCTCCATCAAAAAGCACTGGGTGGAGTTAAACATGTGAAAGTTCAACTGCTTTTACACTTTAATAGCGTGCATATGTACAAAACTGTACAGGTACATATACATGTAGAAGCCAACTTCAGAATTTGAGGAGCCCGCTTCACTACCATAGCATACAGAAGTGTGCAGCCCATCCGCAATGGCATCGCCAGTGGCTCTGGTCCAGGGTGCTAGCAGAGGGCTTGGTCTGCAGTTCTGCCGAAGCCTTCTGCAGCGGAGCCCCACGGCCCACGTCATCGCCACCTGTCGCAACCCGGAGAGTGCAAGGGAGTTGTTAGCACTTAAGGTACATGTACATGTATTTAATGTTTCCTGGCCCCCCAACAACAATAGCATTAGCCTTAGCTACACTAGAGCTGAATGGTCTATCCAGCTACATCACTATGGCTGGAGTCATCCAACTGTAGTTGGTCCCAATGCTGCAGTGGGGGTGTAACGTTATATATCAATTCCTTACATCTTCGTAGGACTTTAACATCATCTTTTTATACATTGTCTTGGTGTTGCCAAAAGTGATGTGCAAGTTTCTCGCCTTGGTTTGCTCAGGAGGAGAACAGGAATCGCTTGGACGTAGAGAAGATCGACCTTGCCCGGCCAGGGGACATCCAGGAGATTGTGGAGAAGGTCAAACAGAGTAGGGTGAGCAAGCTGGATCTGCTTATCAACTGCGCCGGGATGTTGCACCCCTCCGGTAGAGGCGAAACCAGTCTCAGGGATGTTTCATTGGAGGTAAGCTTCCTGTAAACATGCCTATGAGCAGCACTAACGACTTCAGGGGAGTCTTAATAGACGCGCATAATATCATGTTTTCACTGAAAGATCCAATTGTTTCATGTGCTTATACTGTTTACCCAGACCGTGACGACAAGTTCATCACTCCTTAAATTTTGAATTTGAAAATGTTGTATTTCCAATATGGCCGTGCAGATGTACAGTAAGGTAGCCCGAGGTTCTGTGAACTCCTGTTATCACTTTGAACATGTTGAACGTGTACAGGTGCTTGTACATGTAGTAAGTCTGCCTTCATAAAGTATTCACAGGTGAAGGGATGCACATAACGTGAAGTTTCTGTCTTGTCCACGAGCACAAGAAAAAAAATCTGCATCCCCCCCTCCAAGAGTTCCCACATTATTTTTCAACTTGTGTATATGGTGCGACCTTTCGGTCTCCTCCCCACGGACATTTCAGGGTCTGTCAACCACCCTGACTACAAATGCGGTGGGGCCTCTCCTGGTGGCCAAGCACTTCGCCCCTCTGCTCTTGAAAGGCTCGGGCGGGTATGGGTCGAGAGAACAGAGCAAGGCCCATGCTGGGGTCGTCGTCAACATCTCAGCTCGCGTCGGCTCCATCGTGGACAACAAAGGTAACAAACTCTTAGAATTTAGACAAATCTGTTGTGGGAAAATAAAAACAACAATATACATCACACAGCAACGAAAATAATTCCGAAGTTGATATTTGATTGGGTTGCCCAGAGAGACACTTGGCTCAGAATACCAAAAGCTAATTCGATCCTCCATACAATTCTCAACCGTCAGACTCATTTGTGTGCCAACTGTAATAGCATTTTATTGTAACAAGATTAGGAGGCTTGTTATAGAAGAAGAGAGCTCAAATTTTGGCTTTGATCACTGGAAAAATGAATGTGACTAGAGGGAATTGCCATGTGTGGAGTGAAGAGCACCCTCTGTTGATTGGGCAAATGTTGTGCTGATCATCCGAATCTGACATCAGACTGGTTTTGACTGAAAGCGGCTCAGTCAGATTTGGATTTTTTTTACTTGGTGCCATTGGATCATAGTGACCGTCTTTGATCCATAACCAAACCTCAAATATTTATATTCCTGATTGGGCGCCAAACTCTGGCTCGTCCATTCGCCGTCATTTGTCTGTCGCAATTTTTTGCTGTTTAAAACAACAAATGCGCAGGCAAGGATTGGTGCACAAGTCAGACATGCGCTGATACTGTACTGTTCCCTTGACACGGTTTATGGCACTGTCGCACAGGTGCATGCACGAGCATTGCTTTAGCTAGGACACTACACATGAACAAATGGCAACTCTCCTACACGATACCTTTCCCTTTTCCCAGAAATTTTAATGGCAACTGAATATGTCTGAGATACGGTTAAACAAATGTAGCAAAGTTTATTTGTGAATTGCATGTAGCTTGTCAACTTTCAGTGCCTCGGGGAGATAAAATCGACCTGTCCACCAACAAATCATGTCAGATTTGTAGAATGTGCTCTGGGATCTCTCCTCCTGCAGGACTGGGCGGATGGTACAGCTACCGCATGTCCAAGGCAGCTCTGAACATGGCCACCAAGAACCTGAGCATCGAGCTGGGCCGGGGCCGCACTCCGGTCATCTGTGTGAGCGTCCATCCGGGCACGGTGGACACGGCTCTGTCCCGCCCCTACCACAAGAGCGTCCCGAGGGATAAGATCTTCAGCCCCGAGTACTCGGTGGAATCTATCCTCAGGCTGGTGGACGGGCTCACCTTGGAGGACACGGGGAAGTTTCTTGCCTGGGACGGCCAGTCCATACCCTTTTGATATAAGAGAGCCTTCAGAACTTTGGATCCAAGACTGTCTGGCGTCCGGAAACTTGTGTGTGGGCTCAGTACCATGGGCTGATATGTGAAATGATGAACAACAGATATACCCAAGTATTCACTTAGGGATTTTTTTTTCATATTTGCTGTGAAAAACATTGGTCCTACATGTAGATCTTTAGGGGTATTGCTTAATGTGATGTTAAACACAAGGGTTCGAATGATCCGGCTAAGATGCTTTCACCCAGATGGAAGATTCCTGTAGGTTTGATTCCTGTGGGTTTGATTCCTGTGAGATTTGTAACACTTTTTCCCAAATCCTTCAGTGTGCTGTTGAAGGAGTCACTGTAAGCATGCCTATCAGGGCTCTCCGTGTCTTCTGATGCACTATGATTCACCATGTTAAACTAAAAGGGAACATTATAAATGTAACATAACTAAAGTTCAATATGATTTTTTTGACTCATGAACTGCAGTGATGGGTGGCTGGATGGCCCCCGACTCAAGGGGCACTGTTTTAGGCTTCACCTAAACCCCTCCTGTTGGCACTTTTCCCAGATTAAACCAAGATTTGGGCAACTCTTCACAATCACCCTGGGCATCATGGGGGATGGAGCAAGGGTACATACTTGCCCGCCCATTAAAAAAAAAAATTGAAAAAGACAAAAAGAAACAAAAAAGGTGAAATAATTGTAAAAAAAAGATTAAAGAGGACGAAAATCACGAATTTACATCTAAAAAATGTGGATATTTACTCCACTGTGAATGGCCCATCAGTTTGTTGCCGAAAAGTGCTTTGCCCCCTCTTGGAAACATCCTGTTCTGTAATTAGATGGCCATAGATCGTGCCATGCTGGATTATTGGATCCCCTACCCCCCCCTGTCGTTTGCCCCCACCCACCATCAAAATTAGTGGATGTCACATTGATGGCTTCGCGAGACATGTCAGATTGATTCCTCTGCAATGGCCAATATGTACTGTTCTGGGCTATAGATATATTTATTCTGTAAATCACCAGTCTTTCTTGAGGGAATATTTACTGATGGAGTGCAACAGGGTCATCGTCAGTATTACCAATTTTGAGCACCTCTATTCTTGTTAAAATAAATAATACCAATAATGCATTTAACAAAACTGGCCATAATGTCTGTTAACTTCCAGCTGTATCGGCATTCCAAATCCAAGATCACTTTATTTTTTTTGTCAGTTCGAAGTTTAAATGTCACACAAACTGCCTAAGTGGAAGACAGAATGAAAATTCCTCGGGATAAGAATTTGATAGGAGGGGGGGGACTCTGAAACATTTTCCAGGGACTCCCTTTTTTGTCTTTACGCTGGGTTGGGGCATCAACAAATTCGATCTTTATTTTCAAGTAAGCCATTTTCTGACCATTCAAAGGAATGACACTAAAATGTGGGGACCGCTTACAGGCTTCTGGAAGGAAGGGCCCGAAGATCGCCTTTGTCCTATTGATTAAGAACATCAAATATTTCATTTTGTAGGGGAGCCCTGGCCCCGTTGACTTATAAATGCATTGTTTGGCAAATATGTGAGACATTTAAATGGGTTTTCCTCAGGGAAAGTAAGGATAAAATTGACATTCTACTCGGCAAGTTGCTGGGGATAACAAATGTGAAACTTAGTTATACCAAGAAATACCAAGCAAAAGCCCCCGTGGCCTCTTTACATGGCTTTGTATGAAACCCGCCAAGTTGTTGGGGAAAACTGAAGTAGGGAAACTTAACCGTTCAAGCGGGCGGCCATCATTATGCGAAAACTGCCTGGCACTCTGCCATGGCGACCGATGGCATCTGTCGTTTCCGTGGCAACCTGGGCAGCGATGCTAAACCTCTCGACCATGAAGTTCTCGGTGTGTGCGCGCGAGGCAGGCGCTAAGGCACCGCCCCCCGCGTTACACTGAGCTGGCAGACAGCCCATTCCAAATGAGAGACCATCGAATGCCTCTGTTCTACGAATGATTGAGCTGGTAACAAAGACCCATCCTTTGTAATTTCATCGCGATCGTCGGCTCATCAGCACCCATTGTGTCTGTTTGTTGAGTGCATCGTTGGGGAAAACATAGATGCCAAATAAATTAATCCAAATGAAAAAAACTGTATGATGAAAGTACGGAGCTCTGAAAGTGCCATCCGACTTGTTAAGATACCGGGATAATTTTTCTTATTAAATCGACTTATAAAGTTTAGTCGATTTAACGAGATAAATGATGTAGTCAAGTCGACTTCTTAATTCTAGTAAGTCGTCTTGGCGAGATATTTCATGACATCAAGTCTACTTCCGGAATTCGTCGACTTGGCGAGTTATTTAGTAAAGTCGACTCCCTTATTTGGTGAGACTTCTTGGCAAGATAACTTATGTCAAAGAGTCTGCTTTTGGAATTCGCGATGTCAACTCGTCGAGACAATTTATGTTGTCAAGTCGACTTACTTGAATTACGAAGTCCACTTAATTACATAAATTATCTCGCCAAGTCGATATAGGGAACTCTGGAAGCATACTTGATGTCATAAAATATCTCGCGATGTCGACTTACTAGAGTTAGGAAGTCGATTTAACTACATCATTTATCTCATTAAATCGACTTAGTACGCTTTATAAGTCGACTTACCAAGATAAATGCTTTTGGTATCTGAACAAGTCGGATGGCACTCACAGAGCGCCGTACGAAGGACGACTGCAATGACACTACATAATTCCTTGGGGCCGGGTCTTGTCCATTATTGATTGACTTGCTTTCTGTTGTCCGATGCCGTCTCGCAGCCTGTGGATTACTGCAAAAAAAACTACAAGGTATTACCACTATAAAAAGCTGACGCTGAAAGGTTGAGACATTACAGAAGCCAGCACTCCAATTAACCGCAAAATGGTGTTCCTGGTTAATTGGTAAGGTATAAAATAAGCCGCTTTGCTTGTAACAGTCACTCCTGACAAGAAATAGTCACATCCAGTACATCACAGAGACACCTCGTTATTTGTTGTTGCTTATTTTTTCCCCAGAAGGAAAAGGGAAAGAAAGACAAAACACATAATTAAAATTATGAGTAATAATTAATACTAATAACGTCTGAGGGAGACTCCTTGGGGACAATCTGAACCGGGTGGTACAACTGGAAGCCCAGTTGTACAGAAAGGTCACACTTGGATAGTTGACAGGTTTTTGTCCCCAGGCAAGATGTATACCTCCCCCTCAACCTAGAGAATTCGGGCTTCAATAGTTTCAAGTGTTCCGTGTCACGATGGTACTGGCTGGCCTTTACTCTTTTTGGCTTCCACGCACAAAAACAAGCTAACGCGCCATCATACACACTAACAAACCAAACGGAGCAATATGTTTGAATTCAAACGGATCACTATTGATATGCCTGGTTACATCTATGGCGACTGGCTTCAGCTATCTTGATAACGGCCATACGGAAGGCTGTTAAATCCGTATGTAAATTAATGATGATCTTCTTGTATGGTTCTAAAAAACTCAAAACGGTACACAGTAGCACTAGAGCCTGCACTTGACTAATATAAATAATTACTCTGTTGCTGAGCACCAGCTTTGGATACCAGTACTGACCGCTGATAATTCTCGCGTTGCCATGGTTTCGATAGGCCTTGTTAGTGATCATTGACTGCTACTGTGGGGGCGTATACTGTGCCCCATAGGAATTTTTTTTATTGCCGCATTGCGTGCAACTGGACACCAGTGTCATAATAATAAGAATAAAATTTTGGTTAGTGTGAGCTGATGCGCATGCGCCACAAGATACCGATTCGTGGCGCCAGTCGTACTGACGGCCAACACATGAAAACCCACTTGAACCGTCTCGCTATTGGTGCATGTCGTTCGACGAGACAAAAAACGGATGGCCTTGCGACAACGTCACGGTGACCTAATGAACAGTTGGGTTGCGCATGCCAACGTGACATTCTGCATGGAACCGGTGTGTTGCATTTTTTTGGTTTTTTTTACAATGATTTTTGAGGACCACCGAGAACGAAACATTTTCGTCATGATGCATCCACTGACCGTTTGATACCTTTATGCAACTCTGAAATGAAAGCCAGTGCTCTCAACATCACCGCTTGCTCCATGATTCCATCAACCGTGTCGGAAGCGAAGTCGCTCCTGACGTTTAAACCTTGTTAACGCCCCGTGTGGCGTATCTCCTTCATTAGACTAACAGGTTGGAACACGATACGCTCTTTGTTCTAGTGTCACCAACCGTTTACTTTCTCTTTAGAGCTGATATTTTGCGTCTCTGGCAGAGCAATATTCCTGTGATGTCGCTGTTGATTTCGTGCCTGGCACATTTTCGTAGAGTGTTGTTTAGATTTCATGGACTCGCAGGAATTTTTAAATCAGCGTGTGTTCTGAAAGGCTGTTGAAACCATATCGATTGGAAACTGATGACTTTCGCCTATGGCCACTGACTTTTTAAGGCACACTATATTTTGCGACGAAAATGCCATGAGCCAACCGGATACGAATGTCTGGAGGCAGCAATGATTCCGTGTTGATGATTGTTGTATCTAGAGAGCCCATGTTTGAAATCCAGTGTCGAGATGGAAAGTGATACAGGCCATACCCCGTAATAATCGAGTTCAAGTATATAAATTTGGACTTGGTAAGTAAATAAATGCCTTATTCGTCTCCACTTCCAACTTTTACCGAGTTGCACTTTGATATGGATATTGGAACAGTTAGTGAAATCAATAAATAAATGTAACCTAATGAATCGCGTCAGCCTAGGCCTTCAGCTGTACCCGTTTGTTCGGCTGACAGGAGATGTGTATATATGAAGACCGATTGACAATATAGCGCCAGGAGTGGCTCCCTTCAATTTATCATGATTATAGAGTGGTCTCTTGCTAGCATTTTGCGCGGCAGTAGATTAAAAAGACTTCCGTTGGGTAATAATTTGTAAAAGGTAAGCGAGGGAATAGGACGGAACCCGGAATATTAACCAAGATATCCGTTATTTTGAAGTGGACATTTTTTTCTCAGAAATGATCATTATGCAAGTGTCTAACAGCAAATAGGCTTTTTGATGAGGTGGGTGAGGCCACTGTTTACCAAACTGTGTTTCCAACCCCAATTTTCCCGCTTTTTACCGCACACATCCATAACCATACACCGTCGCCCTCGGCTAGCTAACGGGCGGATTTTCGAGCGGTTAAGATGTTGAAATAGTGAGGTAGTGAATGGATTACATTCACTATGGCGCAAACTGAACATGAAAAAGACCAATTTACATTATAAACACTGTATGAAGAGACCAATCAAGAGTATGTGTACGGTGACACCACGGCGGGATTTCTCTCTTGGGACTTTGTTCGGTTTTGACATGAACCGAAGGACCTCTGTCAGAACCTCACAAATTCACAAAAGAGAAGTTGCTGCGTGGTGCTACCGCACACTTACCCTTGTTGCTAACTTCATCAAGCAAACCTCCGAATCTTGTTTGGAGTTACATTCTGCACGCATTCTGACCTTTGGCTCTTTGTGGACACAGATTGACGTGTTTTCTCCCCTGTTTGTTGATGAAGGCCGAGTGGAGACGACTTGATAGGATGAATTCGCTGGCCCCCCACCAGATCATGATGATCGTCATGAACTGCATCGCCTTGGTGCTGGGAGCGCCGGGCAACATCCTGATCCTGCGGGTATACTTCGGCAAGCCGCGCAAGACCAGCACTCACATCCTGATCATGGGGCTGGCGCTCAGCGACCTCGTCTCCCTCTGCTTCACCTTCCCGCTGGACGTCATCTCCTGGAGCCGGGAGTACCAGATGGAGGACAAACGGGCCTTCTGTCGCGTCGTCGGATTCTGCTACCACTACTTCGCCCAGTGCTCGGTGCTGATCATGGTGGCCGTCGCCATCGACCGGTACAACGCCGTCTGCCGCCCGCACCAGTGGAAGATCACAGCCGGCCGGGCCCAGGGAGTGGTGGTCACCTGTCTCCTCCTCAGCACCGTCACCAGTGTCGGGGCACTGTTTTCGTACGGGATCAAAACTATAGAGACCGACGCGGAGAAAGTCTATTTCGAGTCTGATTCTATGACCGACCGTGTGAACGTTACGCTGTGTGTACGGAACGTAGAGGACGCGTTCAACAAGGCGATGCTGGTACTCCACACCATTTGGTTTGTTTTGCTCTTTGTGGTCTTGACGATGGCGTACTTGAGGATTTATCTCACGATCAGAAAGCGAGTCAACGCCGGCGTCGGTGTTCACGAGGAGGGGGACACGTCTCGCATGAGAGTAGTACGACCCGTGATTCGGTTCATATCCCACCTGACGGTCGTTACGAACAGGTCCGGCAGTGCCGACTCCCCGTCGGCCCTGCAGAACGACACCGAAAGTCACGGCCCCGTTGACGACGCCGCCGTCCACCCCGAACTGGCAATCCACTCAAGCAATTCGCCGAACACTTCCGCTAAAGCTTCGAACGAGACCGACGTGTCCTGCTCACCGGACGAGAAGACTGCTTCGCTCAGTGGAAAGAACACAAACGCCTTGGCCCGCGCGCTCCTGCTTGCCGGCGATGTGCCGCACCGCCCCGTGCTGCCCTCCACGCTCCAAGTGGAGAAGACGTATCCCGAAGCCGCTGCTTCACCCAAAGAAGACGACAATGGTCCCTCTGCGTTAAGTCCAGTCAAACCACTGGCGAATCTACGAACGTCCACGGCCTGGAGAAAGATCGTGCCCAGTGTCGTCGTTGCGGCCGAAAATCCTCAAGCAGGGTCGGTCAAAAGGGAATCGACGCTGGACAGTGACAACTCTTCAAACAAGACCGTGACAGCACCCGTTGCAAAGGTCCTACAGAAGCGGGCGGCAGCCACGGCTATGAACCTGAAGATACAGAAGACGACCACCAACATGCTGCTGGTGGCTGCCTTGACTGCTCTCTTGACCTGGTTCCCGACCATCGTCATCGAGGTCTCGATTGGCGACGTCCATGAATGGCTGATTTATGAGGACGACTGGCTGAAAATCCTTACCTGCTTCATGGGCTGGCTGTTCCTCTTCAATTTCGTCACCAACCCCTTCGTGTACAGTCTCATGAACAGCCGTTTCAGGGAGGATTGCGGCAAGTCCTTCCGTGCTTGCAAGCGTGGCCGCAAAAAGGCGATGCACGCGCGGGGCGACAAATAGCCCCCAGTCCCGCACAGAACCTTGGAATAATCATATGTTTTGCAGATCGACATCAAGTCGTCGAAGAGGTCCTGTCCAAAATTTGTGCCAGAAGTTGACTTGTAATATTTCCTGTCATTTCATGAAAGGGCGTGGACGCACCGATCTTTTTGTCTGAGAGTGAAGGAACGTGCCTTATAATTTTGGGAGAAGCTACCCGAACTACAGATGAACCTGCCGGCCTGTTGAATATTCACGTCTAATTTGAATATATGTGTATTGCAATGTTTTCTAAAGTGGTTGATTAGATTACCATCTCTTATCAAACGCCGGCAATGAGCCTGTTCGGTATCCAACAGCGCTTGCCCAAAATGAATTGCTTCCGAGGTCATTCGGACGCGACGCGATAGGCTGTCCTATCAGTACAGTCCTACAAGGACTCGCGCGCCTGCTTTGTTCCCGAATGACCTTGCTTTTTTGAAGTACCGAACTGGCTCATTAATTATGTATTTCACTGCACCAATCCAGAAGACGCAAAAGCGCCAACCTCTTTCAGCCGATACTTTTAGCACCCCCCCCCCGTCGTCGGCTTTAAAACTGTGTTACAGGCAAGACAATTGGCATCTTGATTCACAAAATGAGGTTCTCACCGCAAAAGCTTCCAAAAATATCAACTATCCATATATGGGACCACTTGTGCGACATGGAAACTGGACAGTGTAATTCAACACCATTCGGTGTTAAATCATCACTACGTGTATGTAGAAGCGTAAGGTCATGCAAGGGAGAAAATGCCTTCCGTGGGGGCACCTTTCATTGCAATTGCCAAAACCTTGGAAGACAACTACACTAGTACTGTCTCGTTTAATCTGTTATGGAAATCGGGAGAGCGATCCAACAGACAGTGGATGGTTCCAAGTTAATTGTAGTGGCTTCTTTCCCGTTCTCGCGTCCAAATCTCACGATTGGTTCGAGGAAGTTTCGTTTGTGCTCTAAAATATGCACGAACTGTAAATAAAATTTACCTGACAACATTCACAATTTACATGTTCAATTCTCTAGATTATATTCAATTTTCTTAACCATATATTGTCTTTTTGTACAGAAACAATTTTCTTTCCAAATTCAATATTGGATATGCATGGCCGATAGTCACGCATTGCCTGCCTTACTTTTTTTCATTTATGCATAACGGTGTTTCTACGTCAGTGTTCCGTTTCGCTTTCAAATCATCCAAACTGTTTCCTTCAATAAACCAAATGTTGTCGTTTTTAATAATATCAACTGGAGTAATTTTTTTATAAGTTGTCTCTTATATGTACTTCCAGAGAGTAACATTTTCACTTGGCAACACAAGCTGAAACTAACTTAATCTGAAGTCCCGTGAGAATATTATACTGGGTTTCCCTGCTGTTGGTTTAAAAATGGGAAAATCTTGAGAAAGCTGAACTATCTCGTCACCTGTGCCTCAAAGATACCAGCACGAGTGGTGACTTAAAGGTCGAGTTCGGGTGGCCTGTTCTTGACACAGGTTTCTTGTTCTCGCGCTCAAACGGCGGGAACATGACTCAGGAACACTGGTCCGGGAACAGGATCGCACACCACCTCCCCGCCAGGGTTTTACGGGAAAACGGAAAAACTCGTGAGATTTTGATTTTTGAACAGCCGTAAGAAATAGCGAGATGCTTACAAAGCCGGAGACAATGGGTAGTTTTGCAAAATGAACAATATTAATTTTTCACAACACAGAAATGAATGTTTCTTTTTAAACAGAATAGAATTCAGCCCAGTTACTCATGCATTAACCCTCGAAACGCCGCCATTTTTTTGCAGTACTACTACCAGCGATAACCAGTTTTAATTCCCGGCGTTCGAGCGGCCAACCCACGAATAACATATCGAGCTACTGTTCGTAAACATACGAGAACAAGCCGCCCGAACTCAGCCTATATAGCGTAGCTGCATAAAGATTTTTATAAATATTTGGCTGACCTGGATTTACTCTTCATTGATGACTTGTTGTGTAAGTATATGTAGCAATAAGCAGGCAATAATGTTTGTAGTGAGTTATAATTCTGGGTTCACAGTTGGAAGAGAAAACCTACGTGCACTGAATCATGCCTTCCTCAGATGACATCAAAACAACAGCGCCCTCAGAAAATATGGAGAATTTTAAATTGGTAAGTGCCAATTCAATGCATTTAACCTTAAAAGGAAGAAAAGCGTAGAATGGTGCAGATTGTGTCGGCGAGTGTTCATCGCAGCTACACTTTCATGAATCCGTGGAATGAATTTGTCTCAGGCCGTGTCTGAAACGGGCTTTCAGAGCTACGGCTAGGTCTACTGTCTGTATACAGTGAAAAAATCACTTCAATTTCTCCTTTTGAAAATCTCACGTAAGAATAGGATCCGATCACAGTTTTACAAAGAAGTGTAGGCGGTGGATATTTTGGCGCTGACAAAGGTGTTTGCCAGCAACAATTAGTCAGGCTGGTAGGTTCTCTGGGATAACAATGCAGTTGCTGTTATTGTGTCTTGCACATCTGTTTTTTTTAATTAATTTTATTCTCTATTCACATCTTTAATATTTCTGTAACCCAACCTGTCGCTTTCACCCATAACGTATCAATCTGGTGTTTCTTTTCCCCGAAAAAATTTTCCCCGAACAAAATCATTATTGCCCTCCTATAGCCACAAGAGAAGCCTTGGATGAGAAAAATGCGCATTAACCGATCGCATGAGCCTTTTTATCCGTAAAACAAGAAATTGGGCTAAATGTCAAGGAAGGAATAAACGTTACTGAAAAATGTATGATCGACGGCAACAGGGGAAATTAACGGTTTCAACAGAAAGTCTGTGCGCTTCGTCATGTTTTATGCATGCTTCCCTTTGCATGGAAAGAAAAAATCGGGGTAAAATGTTTTGCAATGTAACATGAGCTGTCAGTTATCAGCATTGTGAATAATTGCTAACGCGTAAAGACCAAAGTGGCGGGTCACCGTCGCGGAGTTGCGGGGCCGCGCCGCGCTGGGGAGGCGGGAAACACAACCATATGATCGGAGGTCTCTTTGTTTTGTTTCTGTGGCAACAGTCACGGTCTTCAGACATTGCATCCTCGGGTTTCCGGATCACCGTTACAGACACGTTGAAGTCCAAACGAGAAACACACAAACATGAATTAAAATGATGTCAAAAACGTGTCAATTATTCTATCGAATCGTGCCGTGGATGTAAAGAATTTTTAGTTTTTGTTTATTTCCAGAAAGCATCTTTTCTTGGCCATTCAAGTCAAACTATTTTACCGTATTCTTTTCAAATTAAATGAAGCCATATTTGAAGTTCAAGGCTTTTTTTGGATGTCAAGTCTCGAAGGGGAGGAATTCGGTTTCGAGGGAAATGAGAAACTTATAATCATATTTATTTCTTCTACTTCAGCGGGCGTTTTATTTGTTGCATTAAAATACATATTTTCTTAATTCCTAGCCTAGGTAGCTGAAGGGGGCAGTACTTCAGTCTAAAAGATCACACTTCATCGTTTTGTTATCTTTTTCATACGTACAAAAATTTTGTTTCACAATACAAACCGACACAGGAGGGATCAGCGATACTGTGGTGTTCCCTGGAGCCACCGCACGAGAAATTGCCATGGTTACCGATAAGAGAAAGGAAACACAAGTTTCACATATCTTTATTCTGTCTCCGGGCAAACAGCTAAGTATGAAAACACGTAAAGTTGACTTGACCATTTGCAAGTACGTTTTTCCCATAATTCGGCAGCAGAAAGCCCTTCAGTGGCATCGATTTTGTGCCCCGAAGGCTGAATCTATCACATTCATTGCAGTCCGGAAAACGGGGTGGGGCCAGACTTACCCGGGTTTCAAGCCTCGATTACAGTTTGTGAATTTTTTTTTTCTTGTTAAGGTGACTTTAAAGCTTTAGATATAATTTTTCCCGAATTAAAAATTATTCTAAACGTAAATGACTGACCTGAATTTGTAATGAACTTTTAGTTCATTGCTGTAATTATTTTTTTACTGTCGGGTTCAGGAAAAAGAACAGTTAGCCTTCCTTTCGATTCAAGATGACCAAAGCACGAATAGAGTCTATGCACCAGCTTAACGTTTGCGTGCGTCCACAGTTTGGACGAATGGTGTGGCTACATTTTAAAAGTCTTCTGGATCGATGACACCTGGGGATTTGTGTTCAAAGTAACTGCGGGTTCCGTTATTGTAGCGGCAGATTTCACAAAATAACCATGCTTCTGTCAACATCGAATACAAAACTTGTATGGATGGCGATGGTATTTTGTGCATCCAAGCCGGCCGAGAAAAAGGAAGTGTTTTTTTGTGCAGTTCGGTTTCTTTGGAAGGCACTGCCTACGCGCTACTAGACCTCTGTGCTCATGACACCACATGTGCGTGTTTTTCCAATATGGTGCACTGTGTTCAGCGGACCGTGCCCCCCCCCCACTGGCTCCATAGAAAAGCTCACATGCAAACCAGTGGCGTATCCAGGTTTTAGGTCCCGGGGGGAATCACCATCATGTCTGACAAATGGCCCCCAATTTGTTTGTTGGGGTTTTTTGGGGGGGGGTTTATGTGTGGGTGTGTGAGTGTGTAAATGCCTTCAATCCTGGACCTATAACTATACGGGACAATAGGGTCCACGGTTGCCGAAAAGTCCACGGTTGGAAAACGTGTACAAAACATATGGGAGGTCTTCCGAAAAAATTGAAGTATGAACAAAAGAGGAACAATAGGGAGTCCACGATTGAAGGCGTTTACACACTTGGGTGTGTGGGGTGCCACTTTCAATTTCTGAATAAAAACTCACCAGGGGGCAAGTAGCACCCCCCCCCCGCGCAGATACGCCAGTGATATAAACTAAGTGTGATGTCTTCAGTACATAGGTCTACTGTCATGTACGAGTTGACTCAAAATATTTCCACTTATGTGCAAAGGGATCTGCCGTTTCTCCAACCGCGGCAACAACTCCGCCAGGGCTCCCTCTTTGGCTAGGGAATTTTTAGTGTTGCAGACTTTCAGCGCAGAGGCTCGGCGAAGAACAAAGTTACGGTTAAATCGGGCGTGATAATCAAGGCAAGCCTTATACACCAGCTTTTTGGGAGACATAACACTTCACTGCATTGCTTGGAAGAATTTGAGAATTGAGTTGCCGGTCGGATCAACCAGCTTGACGGCCGCCTTGTCATTCGTCTGGTACCGAAGGTGAGGGTCCTGACTCGAGACGATGTCCTCTAACAGTTGAGCCACTTCCTCCGGCGTGCAGCTGGCGTGCATGGCGGGGCCCAGGTCCTTCTGGAAGTAGTCGAGGAAGAGATCTTTGGGGACCTGGCCCCAGCCAGCGCACAGGTTGTCCAGGAAAGCACGGGAGGACCGCGCCTCGACCAGGCTCGGTGCAGAGACAGCGCTGGGCTCGAGGATGCTGACCCTGCATGCATGTAAAGATATTTTGTAAGCTTTTTGCGAGATAAACTTGAATAACATCTGGTACATTTGAGATCTTTAAATCGAATTCACGTGAATATAACCATTTGAATTCTCTATACAAAGGGCACTGTTGCTAGCCTATACCTCGTGGTCCGGGGCAAGCTTTTGCTTAGTTACCTAGGATAAGCTTAGCACCAATGCACTGTTTTCAATGGATAAGAAGAGCACAAAGGAACCAGCCCATTCAAGAGATGCAGAATTTCGCTCCAAATAACGGGGTATAGCTTTGGTGTATTTAGTCAGGGGGCTTCAAATTTATGTTTATGTGCAAATAGATCAGTGTACCAGATTTTATTCAAATGTAACTCCCAAAGGCTTGTTGAAACAAGTTTACATTTGCTATCAGTGATACTTGCTGGGAACATAATGATGCACGATATGCGGCTAAGGGGGACCCCCTCTACGGCGTCTTGTTTGTGTTGATGGAATCTTTGGAATTCCTTTCAGATTTCCGAAGGGGGTGCAGTAGGCAAAATGGCCTTAGGGTATAGTGTAATTCGACCAGCAGAATTAGAAGCCATTACTACGGTGACACAAAGCTCCTGGACAGGTGGTACGCGCGCGTTACGTGCCTGTTCGACTAATAGGGTGTCGTGATTTGCCAAACGCACGCGCGCGTCAAGCTGAAGAATGTGCGTGTGAGTGCAGTGCCACCGCAGTTATGGCGTCTTATCGGATTAGTCTATACAGCTTTCGCATCACATTGGGGGTTTCCCCTTTACCGCACATCGTGCTGGGTATCGCTGGGCGGCTGTTCGGGACGTTTGACGTAACTTCCGGGAGCGATCATTCATTACGGAGTTCATTTGAATAAGACAGTGCTTCCGGTATGCGCTTAGCATAATGCGCATTGAATGGACACACAATGCTTTGAAGCTGTGAGGTAATTCCTTCGCAAAATTCTGTGATGGGCAACGGCCTTTTCACCATCCTGTAAAGGCCATGGGTTTCCACCTTGAGCAGAAAGCACCCCCTCATTGGTTGAACTGAGCCATGTTGGTGGAGAGTGTTAATTTTGTTGGTAGTGATGTGACCATATATGCGTGCATTTCGTGTAATCGTTCTTGAACCGACGAAGTGCATTTCTCGCCAATGAGCCCCTGTTGCTAGGAAGACTAAGCCCTCTCTTGATCCAGCATGGGGCCCATAAGAGCAAAATGGAAGAAGCTAAGCCTTTAACAATTACTGTTACACATAAGCTTTTTTGTTGGCGCTCGTTTTTCATTTCATATTGAATCTGAATCAAGCCTCGGTCAGCAATATTTATTTTCAGACAAAACCTTAATTTTCTTGACCCATGTTTCGACAAGTGGAACAAGAGATGGCGCTATGTCGTCAAGGAGTGATATCCCGATTGAAGAAGAGGCCCAGTTCGTGCATTCTAGATCTGTTCTCCGTTCATTCAGCCCACGCTAGGTGGACCAGGGAGCGACTCACCCCCACGCTTTCCCTTTTTTTACCTGATGTTGTAAGCTTTACGTAGAACTGGCGCGAGGCTCTTGGACAGGCCTTCTAAGGCGAATTTCGAAGCCGAGTTCAAGCTCTGAAAGGGGGCCCCTGTGAAGTATATATCAGCGAAAATTCAATAGCAAAACTAAATGCATCAGAGATAACGCATTAGACTCAAGTACATGTATTAAATGATGAGTGAGCGTATGCTGCCAAACCACGTGTCGAGTTTGTAACACACTTCATGGTGTTGAACACCGTGAGTGGACACTGACGTATAAGAGAAAGGGTCGAGAACAAAATGGCGGTCAATGTTTGTGAAGAAAAGAAGCGTTTTATGAACCAGGTTGGAATCTTTCCCACCGCGCATTTGAGAGTGGCAATTTTTTTCTCTAATCCCACCCCCGGTTTACAATTAAATCCCTGGAGTTTTCCACAACCAAATGAATGCACATGGCTTAAGAACAAAAAAGATTATTCTTTGAGGACAGTTTCATAATGTTGCTTTGCAAAAAAGCTCTGCTTTGAACCTAAGGCCCAGACTTGCTGGAGGGCTGAATAAGGGCAGGGTAAAGTTGGCCTACATACAAGCATTTTAACGATGGAAAGGTTGAGTGTATTTTTCGGGGGGGCGGGCGATTTCACATTTCGACAGCGCATCACTGCATCGATCGTGTTGCCATGCACATCGTCTCTAATGCTGCAGCGAATGGTGATTGGTCGTTCCAATGCTGCGGCGAGTGGTGATTGGTCGTTTTAATGTTGCGGCGAGTGGTAATTGGTCGTTCGAATGCTGCGGCGAGTGGAGATTGGTCGCTATGGGCCAATGTGGTAGAGTAGATATGTTGCACAAGATAGTTTGATCAGATACGGCCAATTAGTACTGATGAAGTCTAGATATAGCGGACAATGGCGGAGCGACCCAAACTGGGTAGCAAGTTAAAGCTGTTAAAGCAACCTCGGCAGTCGTAGTCTTTACAACAAAAGTATCACTGCCGTTTTTTAACTGACCTTTTAATTGAAACGAAAAATAAACAGAAACTACAAGCATTGTAGCAAATAAATTCATGCAAAATAAAGTTCAAAATGAGTAACATACACCGGATTTTTTCATAAATACAGAAATTGCAAAAGAAGGCAAAAATAGAGGATCCACTGAGACAAAAAATATAGCTTTGTTGAAATCAAGTGTGGAATTCTAAACCAAACCAGATCTCCCAGACCAAAGAAAATAAAAAAGAGTGAAAGCTTTGTTTTAAAAAATGGGGGATATGTATAAAAACGGCCTTTTCCAAGCAAATCATAAATAAGAATTCAAACAAATTGATGGTTAAAAAAATTCAAGAATTACAGAAATGTACTTGACAAAATTTGTTAATTGATATAAATCTACCCAGTTATTCATTGGTTGATATAGGCCTACAGTCGGGGCCCCAGTTATTAACATAAAGAGAAAACACAGAGCTACTTAAAGCATACACAGCAACTTGAGCAGGTTACCACCCAAACATCGTGGTACGTAGACTGCTGCTGGCTAATATTCTGCTAACCTCTGCAGAGCAGATGGTTAAGATTTCCTACCAAGCAGCTGGTTCTTGGTAAACTAGGTTTAGATCAGACACGGTAACTCGGTTCAGTCTGAACAAAACTTGGGTGAGTTTTATTCGTGAAAAACGGTTTGGTCCCCCGACTTTCGAGCCTCACTGGACACGGTCGGTCAGAACGATTACGACCGGGCACCAGACTACGCTTTCCATTATACTCCAACACTTGACAAATAACTTGATACCTAAAACGGTTCGTGGGAGTTCGACGACGAGGCTTGGAAACTCCTCTCATGAACTCTTCCGAAGTCAGGGCAGCGAACATGCACTGTACACTCAGAGATAATTCTCCGTCTAGACAGTAAGCCTTAGCATGATCACGGCCAAGTGGTGCGTGGAATGATTTAATGGAAACGTTAGCAAGGTTCAGAGACCTTGACAGGGTACTTAGGAATACTCGAACCAAATGAAGAGCACGATAAGATGCAATACACATTAACAAGGTCAAATAACTCCAACACCTGCAATACGGGCGAATCACAGTAGTGCGCCTCCAAGAGTTTGAAACGCATTGGCCAATCACAACGCGCGAAATTTGTCGACCCTTTCAAAACGCGCATTGGGTCGACAAATTTCGTGCATTGTAATTGGCCAACAGGTTGCAAACTCTTGGAGGCGCACTATTGTGAAACGACCGTATTATACTGACACATGAAAAATGTAACAGCAACTTTTCATCCCTTCCGAGCTGCATTTCGAGGGTACGAATGTATAAGAATTTAGGATAATCCCTTCCTCCACTAGGTTTACCGTTACAAAATACAGAAGGTTTACAATAGTTCTTGATGCCAAAGATCGACACGGCCTGATCTGAATGTAGGTGAGTGATCACGGGACATTCTTAGGAGAAAATATGGCACTGACTGAAGTTCCGAGCAGATATTATGAGAAACACGCTGTAAATCATCACTTCAACCCTTACTGCGCGCTTCCCAATGAACATGTACATCTGGAACTCTGGCCCGGATGCTCATGACATCTGAAAATTCGCGGCCATCTTCTGAACAACTTTTAAAGGGTACCTGAAATCAATTTGTTTCATTGTGAACACGATTTGCAACTTCTGTTTTATTATTTTGAAGGGTACATTACTGCCTCTTTGGTCTTTATGCTAATTAGCTTTTCCATATTCATGAGCAAAACTGTGATGTCGTCTCAGAAAGAAGCCTCGATGTTGCATTGGTTTGTACACAAAAAGTACTGCGTTTTTGGAGATTTTGCCGAGACTTTTGATGAGACTTCACTGGAACAGTGCCCTCAGTTGTTCTGGAAAACATGGGTAACTTTGTAAAAAAAGGGGCACTTTTCAATGCACTTAACTGAATGGGAATGCAAGAGTTTCCATACATTGAAAAAGAATACAAAATTGAAGACAGCGAACAGCTTTCTGTCTGGGATGATCAGCACGACCGACTTGCGCTATCGGTCGATCCCGTGTGAAATCATCAACTTAATCCCTCCCCCCTTTTCTGAAACAGTCTCCCCTTCCTTTAATAACGTGGAAGTGGAAAGAAAGGCAGTTTGTCGACAGCAGAATCATCGACCAATCTCACAAGATCGACAGGTTGCACAAAGAATGGCCGATCGCCCTGCTCCCAACATTTTACAAGGAAATCAGTAATGCCCATGTATTAAATTGACGTGACCACGTGCTTGGATTTATCCGCTTAGTTACTATGGAACAAATTTGGCACTGTCCCCAAAGATGGCAAAAGGACTATCAGACCGAACACTTCTGTCAGACTTCCCAGACAACCTTTTTTGTATTTTCTAACTTAGAATTTACAAAACTCTTTACCAATGTGGCTAACTACACTACAGAAATAAAGTACGACAAATATATAGGCTATTTTGTGACCCTTTTTTCTCTTTTTGACACTTTTTTCCGAAAATAAATCCCACTTTAACCACAGATTGCGACTATAAACACGTAGCTAATACTGTCTTGCAGAAAACAAGGTGTTGAATATCATGGAAGATGATCAGGCACGATCAGGTACTAATGCACAGCTCAGAATTAGAGCACTGGCTTCCAAAGCCTCGGAAAAAAAGTTGTCGACGCAGAACTCCATTTGAATACAGCGAGTCCAACGTTGCGAGCGAGAAACGAAGCACACTATTACATAACCTGTGCTGCTCGTATTTGCGAGTCTCAGGAAAGTACAAAATGTAAAAGGTTGGTAAGAAAAACATTAATAACAAACTAAGAATCGTACTTTGCTGATGGAGACATTGACGACTTATCCCGAAATTCAACCCAAAGTGCCATGTAATACTCTAACAAGCATCCACCTTATATACCGTTTCCCGATTTGTTACTTTGGGCTCACAACCTATCGGTAAACGTTTGGGGAAAAACGGGGAGAGGATGGCGTGGCACCAGTGTCCATAATCTGTCGCCCCTTTCTAAACGCGCACAAGGTCGACAGATTTCCCGCATCGTGATTGGCCAACGCGTTGCAAACTCTTGGAGGCGCACTATTGTGAAATGTCCGTATTAACGGGAGTATTTAATACAATGCTTTCACTACAAACCTCGAAATTGCACCTTTAGGTTTCAATGAACCTTATTTCAAATTTCATTTTGCTATTTTAATCTGTAATTGTTTAATAGCAAAACTGGGGTGCCAATGTTGCATTGATTAGTGCGCAAAACACTTGCGCGAACGTGAAGTTTTTTATGTTGTCATCAATTTCCATTTCTTTGGCAAATGATTGCTGTGGAATTAGGTCGCAATAAGCCGGGGAGCAAACGTTTTCTCATAAATTTTTCAAAGAGCAACTTTGGGATTCAAAACTGAAACAGGAAAACACATCAACTGAAGAGTGTATTTCCTGATTTACATCACAGAAACAGCACCCTCACTAGTCCAGAAAGGCTTAGGCAATTTTGAATGTATAAAAAGTGCACTTTTCATTACATGCAACTCCACGAGGATTTCCAACCATTTTCATACATTGAAGGAGAGTACAAATATGGATAAAAAGTGAGTCTAGGAAAAAAAATAATGGAGTGGATCCTTGAACTTCTGCTTGAACTTTCGAAGGGCTTGCAGTCCCATGTAAGGTAACTGACCGAGGTTCAACTTTCCTCAATCCTGTAAAATCTCACAAACTGGTGGGTTGAAGAATTGGAGGGGGTTGGAGCTTAAGACTTTGGCGACTGGTGATTTGTTTGAACAATTTGATATTTAGTGATTTGATGAATTTTTTGTCACTTGGTTTGATGTGATGAGGGTCTGGAGTTAATCTGAAAGGCATTGGAATACGATCCCCCAAAACGGTGCATCTTACAGAATTCTTAAGGCAAAACAATAGGTCATTACAGTACAGAAAAGAAACCTCTAAACCTGAGTCAAGTTACAGAAGGGTAGAGAAAACAGAGGGGATTTGTACAGGCCAGCTAATCTGTCCATTATCTCTTGGAATGCTTGTCTGACAACATTCCATACACTGTTTCAGCTGTTGATGGAAGCTCGTCAGGATCATATGCATTGAGTGTTAAAAGATTTCAGAACCGACAGAACCCAATTTCTTAAGCAAAGGGAGAAGTCCAAAACTACCCTGTTCAAGTTTTGGCTTAGCAGTAATGACGCTTATCGGGGATAAAAAGTAAATATTCATGCGTGTGTTCTTCGTATGCAATCCCCTTTGATTTGTTTTGATCGCAAGATAAAACTTGGTCACAAATTTGGTCCCAGATCCAAAAACTACTGTCTGTACAGGCTCTTGAAACCGGGATCGGTGCCATTTTGCCAATCACTGGGGTCATCCAAGACTGAATCTGCAGCTGTTGTCCAGGACTGTTGAGTCAGCAACAACAACATTCGACCAGCTTTTTTTCTCCTTTTCCCCCAAATAAAAACATGCCAGACAGCATTTTCATTAGGCAATTTGTGTCAGTCCACTCTCTACTGCAAGGAAGGGTTTTTTGACAATTGGCTGGGTAAGATTGAGAGAGGTTGCAAATGATCCCAAGAGGCCTTGAGAGTGGCTATCCACGGAATGAGAAGCACACCTGCAGCAGGTCAGTGAAGCTTGCCCAGTTCAGCTTTCCGGAAGACCTCCGCTGCCGTGAATATTAAGGAATCGATTATGCCGGCAACGGTGAAGGTACCACCGACGATGGCGCATATCTGATACAACAGAAAAGCAGTTGATAGGGGGAGAGAAAGAGATTGAAGATTTGTAACGGGCGGCCATCACTAAATCCAATCAATCAGGAGGATTGAAGGGGTGTTGCTGGAGGGGAAAGGGCTGTGAGAGGGGGACATTGTAAGAAATCCACCTGTCGTCAAATGTTGTTCCATTCTTGTTTGAACAGAATGCTCACGTTTTATTTCTAGAACCCTGCCTCGACAGACCAATTTGTTTCTTTCAATCGGAAGTGTCAGCATCCCGAGTTCAGATATTGATCGAGTGAAATACTGCATTTACTGTTAACTGCCTGCCATTTTTCATGAAGAGCCGCGCTTCAGCACTCACCCTTGTGCACGAGTGCGCACTTTCAGTTGACCAGCTCCTGCACGTTTATATCCACATGGCTTTTTTTAGTGTCACACTATGCCATGCATTGGCCCAAATATTTCACATCATGTGATTAGCGACTGGCCAATTAGATGACGGAATTCGTTCAGGTGTTGCGTGATACATCATCAGTGCGTTCAATTACTTCTTCCCGCACCTCATTTTCCGCTTTTTGTGCCCAAAGTTACCCAGATTCGTACAACCAGAGAGCAGATTTTGTTTCTTCCCTCTGAAGCCACGTTGCAACATTCTCACTTCGCTGTTGTTGATTTTATCCATTAATTATTATGTTAATTCACAAAATAAAGGACAGGCTACTTGATTCTTCTACTCACAGTTGTGATGAAGGAATAAAATGGCGCCCGCTTCTCGTGATATTTCACCGTGATTGGGCTGATGTCGTAGCGGAACCATATGGCGGGTAGAACCCGGTGGCCATGGCCGAAACTCTGATATTCCTGCAACCGAAGCAAGAGCGAGAGATGTCGCCAGTCTCCCTATCACTGTCAAACTGTCCGCAGATCTTGCGAGGCTCCACACCACATGGAAATCTACATGGACCCTAGACAGGTCAGTTCAAAACGTCCACATGGTGGCAAAACTTCTCAAATTTTGTGGTGGTGGGGGGGTCGGAGGAAGCCTCATCACCCCGGCAAAATATCTGCGCCCCCCCAATGCCCCGCATGAAATCTTGAAATGGAGTTCAAGCGACAGTCAGTGTGCTTTCGGTGCACCCCCCCTTCCAAAAATCTGTTACAACCTTTGTCCCCCCCTCCAAATTTCAACAAAGTTAAGCCACTCGGTTATGGCTCCCAATAATGGCATAGCTAGAGTGTTTTCTTGGGGCACACAGGGTGCACACAATTTTCCTGGGAGGCACGGAAAACCGAGGACTATGGCCTGTAAGTAGGTTTTGTACATTTCAAAATTTTAATGGGGAGGGGGAGCGCATCAGGGCCAACACGAAAGTCACCAGATTATCCCTCAAAATTTGGACACACCGAAAGATGAGAGTACTTAAGCTTTGTTTTTGAGGTGCGTCTGAAAAAAAAAAATTGGAGAATTAAATATACTGTGTTCTGTTGACCAGCACAGATTGCACCCTGTTGAAATGGGCAGGGTTACGCCAGGCTCTTTCAGAAGAAATTACACCAAACACAAGGAGGCTCCATGTACCTTGTACGCAAAAGTATACTGATAAGAAATGTTCTGGTTGCCCCAAAGATCTTCATACACCGTCGGGACGATCTTGATGTAATAATCATGGGATGACTCGGCTGTTAAAAAAAAAAAAAAAAAATCAGGCAAATATTCTGATCATCTGATGATGGTTGAACTTGGTTCTTGATGCTTTGCAGCACAACGTTGAATGCACAACTCTCGTCCACGCTCATACTAGACGGAAGGCTTCAATCCCCCCCCTTCGGCCCCACCCCTCTCTCAAACTGGAGTCGAGTCACGAGACTGAAATTGGCTGAATTAGAGACGAGTGGCAGATGCATTTAACATGTATTAATCTACTCTTTATCGCTAACAGCTCGTGTGCACTCCAGCTGGGTTCCTCCCCCCTCTTAAGTAAACATGTACATGCATTTATCAGCCAAATGAGTTACTAGTTATTTTTCCCAGGGACGACTGGCATCGGAATCTTGATAGAATTGCAATTCTTTTGTCGATAACAGCTCATGTGAACCCCAGCTGGGTTCCTCCCCCCTCTTGTACCATGATAGATTACATATACAAGCATTTATCAGCCAAAGAAGCCTGTTATCTAGCAAGCCTTTGGAATTTGATAGCTGAAACGAAACCTCAAAGTAGGTCACTGGGGCACATTCCGTTGGGTACATGCCACATTGCTAATTTACATGTCTTTGCTGAACAGTGGTATTTCCTGGACAACCTTAAAATGATCCAAATATTAATGATTTTGATACGGTGTATATAGTTGCATTACGTAGTAACATCTCCAGTTGTAAACTACTGAATAAAAACTACAAATTTCAAAACATTTCCAGGCAGATGAATGGTAGTTCTAAAGTTATTTTTCCCAGGGACGGCTGGCAGCGGAATTTTGATAGAATTGCAACTTTTGTATGGAATGGGAGTTGATTCCCAAAATTTCGGTATCACCCAAGCTTACAGCAGCTCCCCACCTGAGATTGCTTGGCAGAGGTGAATGTGGTGACAGCTCCGCTTCGGTGACCAGTTTTTACTCTGGTCCCCCTGAAGAGGTCTTCCAAAACATTTTGATTACAACCTTCGGTAACATTCTAGGGTTGCATCTGTAGGAGGGGATAACTTCTGAAGAGGGGGGGGTTGTTGCACAATTTGTACAGTAAAGAAAGCCAAACAGTGTGTGCACTGTATTTGTAGTCTTACCTTTGGCATTCAACCTGTCTTTTTTTAAAAGTGGGTTGAAAGCTGCTCTCCGCCCAACAGATGAATTCTGATTGGAAACAAGAAAATCTGGCCTTCAATTGGGATTAAATAAACACCACTTTTTACGGACTCCAATACCTTTAATTACCATTACGGAAAGCCTTTCTCTTCACAACAAAGTTTCGAATGGAATGTAGAGAAACATGCAAATGACCAGCACATTGGTCAGTACACTGGTCAGTACACTGGAGTGACTGGATAAACCGCATGGCAAATATAGGCCTTAGGGGTGATATTGGAGGATGCAAATCCATAGACCTGTAGGAACATACAGCGGGGGGCCTGCAGCAATGTTCTTGTGATTTTTCATTGCTATATAGCACCATTTCTCTAGGAAGCGCTATGGTTAGGTGAATGCTGCACTTCAGTGCAAAGGGCAAAAAGTTACAGTGAATTTTGCAGCTGTGCATTTCTGCTTTCGGCTTAAACAGCGCATTACGCAGGCTTCGATATGAACCGTGCAATACAGTTATCTATCACCACTGTTGGTTGCCATGGAGTGACCAATTAGAATTAAGAGTTCAAGTTTGCATGAAGATGAAACCTCAATGACAACGCCTCTACAATCTAGAGTTTCTGGGGTCAGAAATCACGCGCCTGAGGCCTGGCCTGGTTGGAGGTTGATATGAAATATTCAAATGTCAACAGTAAAGGGTGGTTATTATCTCCGCTGACCCACTTTCTTGTTGCACTATACATGTACATTAATGTCGTTATCAGTACATGTAGATAAGGGGTTGCAACTTGCAACCTGATGCCTGCAGTAAGCAAACTTTGAGGTCCTCTTGGGCAGAAAGTTGGACTTTATGTAAAGCATGGGTAGAAATGTGTCCGGTCCCTAGAGCAGTTTCTTTGATTGATTGCAGTAAGACAGACCCACATGCACGGCACATTAACCCTAACCCCCTAGGGTGTACGTAAATTCGTATTGAAATTGGAGGATTTGGGACTGTTAGGGTTAATATTTAGTGCTAATATCCACTGAGCTGCATGATTTTGATGGCGTGTTTCCAGTCGTAATTTCAGGCAAATCCAACGGGCTGAGTTTCCACCACCCATGCTTTTTTTTGTGTGTGACCATGGAGCTTGTCAATTTAACCAGTTCAAGAAATTTTTTTTTTTTAATGCAAAGAGGCGGTGTCATTCAGGCTAAAAGTATGCAAAAAAATTGCATAAGCTCTTACGAATGTGCCAGCCTGAGGGGTTTCTGGCCATTTGTTGCACATGCCGTGGGCCAGTTTGAACACCTGGCTTTGTCACACAAATACAGGTAACCCAAACTTCCAAAGACCTGGTGACACAGACGCCCTGCTTTTTGTGGCAAATGTGGACCCCCCCCCAGGCTCTTGTGTGCCGTCTATAGACCTGGTCAGCTTTTACACCGTGTACATGCACTCCTTTAGCGACCTATACGAACCTGTGCAATGTGCACAAATACAGGCATGAAATATATGTGGGTCTTTATTTGCTGCACTCAGGTAGCTCAATGTTGTGTTACGGATGTGACCAAGATATTCAGATATTTTGCTGCTACACGTAGCTAGCTACGCATGTTCCTTTGAATCTACAATGCCTCACCTGCAGAGTGAAGAGGCTTTTATAGACTGTACATTGACTACACTGCGACGGATCAAAGAACAATATCCCAACACTCCCTTATTAACGTCTTAGTCAGATGGTATTTGACGTCACATGAACCCAACAACTTTCTATTCCAAGCAACAGACACAAAAACTGTGGCACATTACAACAACGATCTACGTGTTTTCTAGAAATAATTTCCAACGTGTGTGACGAAGGATTGACGAGTCACATATTTTCCTCATCTGACGGTTAGACTCACTTACCGATAAATCATCTCCAAAGGACACTTGGTCGATAAAGTGTGCAAAATCCGGCTTGGCTGGCTGGTTCATACCTGCAGCATGCGTCGACACGTGAAAATTCCCTGGAACCTGGTAAAGACAAATGAAATTTAAATTTGTTTTTTTCTCTCTCTGTTTTTGAGTGGAGCTAATCTTGCTAGGAGACACAGGTTCTTTGTTTTTTTTTTTAAGTATATGTATTCGCAAGACGCTGCAAGGCCAGAGAAATTGAGGCTGTAAACTGACCTACTACTGCGCCACTGTGTGAGGATTAGTGCATACCACACATACAGTCTATTCACCATGCAGCTGCTGGTTCAATGGGGCCTGCTGCTGGACAAAGCCCTCCATTCAGGGCATACCACAGCCCAGCAGTTGCTGTCAAAATAATCTGGCCGTGAAGGGGTTAACCCTCCTTTGGTTTTACAGCACAAATGTGCACAAATGCCCACA